AACTCTGAACTACTCTCAGAAGCCCCCCACTACCTATTACATACTCACCCAGTGATCTGGAAATTTTCACGACCAGCTTCATGTTTATATAGAAACCACCTGGACTGGTGTTTGTTTTAACTGATGGCTGTGTATTTCGTTCGCAAAGGATCTTCGGTCATGTGGCTACTGTTTGTATAGAAGCCGTGTGTTGTGTAACGAAAAATTCCATCGGAATGAAATAGAACATATTTTGCTACTCGTGCAGGTGGTCCTTCTTATGTCAGTAATTATCCCGTTACCAACCCCAAACTCCGTTTTGTAAAAAGTGTGGGAGCCTTTCGTCAGACGACAACTGAGAATCATCGGACGCTGTCGGTGTCAAAACAGATCGTTCATCCATACGACAAACCTGTGATCTCCCTCGTTGGGCACGCTTAGCAAAGCCTGTTTTTTGATATGATGGCATCCTAGCTAAGCTTCCATGTTTTGGCATATGGCGGGCACTCATTGCCTGATTGATAGTTTTCTAGTTGGGCAGTCAGTGACAGCACGCATCACTCACTAACTTCAATGCTGGCGGATCCCAGCATTCTGTACTCTCTGCGACTCCGTTTTACCTCATTTCAGTGAAGTGCCCTCTCACATCTGTTATCACCCCATCCGCGGATGATCCCAATGGTTACCCACTTTCTTACTGACCACGTATGTTTGCCTCCAGTCGCAAGAAATAGATTTCCCGTTTTTCCTAGGGGTTTCTCATATCTGACACTTTCTCTTTTTCAAAGTCCAGATTCTTCCGATACTCGTGTGTAGTTCGTCTATGTGGGTTGGCATCTTTCTAATCCATCTCGACTAATTGTATGGACAGTGACTTGTCGCTGAGTGACAAGCTACAGTCGCCAACACATCGATTAGGTGTGGTACTTTCTCTTTTCAAAGTCCAGATTCTTCCGATACTCGTGTGTAGTTCGTCTATGTGGGTTGGCATCTTTCTAATCCATCTCGACTAATTGTATGGACAGTGACTTGTCGCTGAGTGACAAGCTACAGTCGCCAACACATCGATTAGGTGTGGTATCCATGTCTGTCCTAGCACTACTGTCACGATGTCCTCTCATGGTGTTTTTTTGAGTTTACCAGTGATGTTATTCACGTGGGTTTTACCGCTTCATTCGTCGTTTGAGAAATCGGCCCCTGCTTTGCTTGTCTAGTCCTTGTTATCGGACTGAACTCTACTCCCATGGCGGCTGAACCATAAAACTAACTTCTACTTCATATCTTTCACCATTTCCAACGTCTTTTCATCACGATTTAAGACTTATTCAACGTTTAGAGTCCTTTTCCAATTTCGTTTCCATGGGTTACGTTTTTGTCTTACGAGAATCCCAAAAATTCACACAAAGTCCTACCGTTATAGAAATCAGCTGGCCGATTTCTTTGTAAACTTCGTCGCATTCCGATAAAATTGCCCGAAACCAGCCTTTGCCGTGGGCTGTCACCTATGGATATCTTTATTGTTCAAAGGCCGCAGCTTCCAGTGGTTTGCAAATGCACGTATTCTTCGGATGTTGATTCGAATTACTGTTCCATATCTGCTGCCGGTGCGCAGCCCACGTCAAAGTGCGCGATAAAATTATCTTGGCTATTTAGCGTAACCGCTGCAAGAGGTGTTTTATTCTGCGCATTCTTGCGCGAATCCCCGATATTATTCCTATTCATGGTGTACGGGTTGAGAAGCGTATCAACCACGCAGCTGAGGTGGGATCGTGAAAGATGACACATTTGTTTTCTACCACCTGACGTGGTGACCTGGGATAAGAGCCTACCGGAGAAACGCAACAGAAACTGCAACATTTGGTCGACTGTGACTGTATGGGACACTCGAATTTAGACGACCGACGGAATCAAATTAAGACCTCAGATAAAAACGGCCACTATCGGTCATTCGAAGGAATGTCGCTGCTCTAGCAGATGAAGATCTGGCAATGGACGTTCGGTATGTCAGGTGGTTTCTCGCCTATCTGTTCCGCTGATCGCTCAGTCTACACAGGACGATACCGCAGAACACTTTGGACGCCACCAGGCCGGTGCCGTGGTGGTTTTCGCATGCTGTTATTCCTTCGGCCTTGTTATGGGTCCGTTGTAGAGGCTGGTTGCTGCTATTGTTTTTCTGTCATCAATAAGAACCGCTGATCTGGTGTTCATTGGATCAAGTCAAACGGCTCCGATAGACGGACGTAAGGGCTGACAACATTGACGCTTTAGTCCTACATTTATTTATCAAGTGTAACTGTATCTATGGTCATCTGTTAAGCACCGAGCCGTCTCAGCTCCCTACTGTTGAGCTATAAATACATTTTATGGGCTCTTTACCTGGTCCCTATCGGTTTATGACATTCATTCTGCAAGTATGCTAATGTGCGTTCCAGCACATTGACACGATGATTGCGAAGTTAACTACTCCAAAAGGAGCGAGAGTCTTGAGAGGTCTGGATAGAAGTCATCTCTCTCAGCGTCTGCGGTGCCGTCTTGAATTGAATGAATCTGCATGAAACTGCCGACTTGAAGGCACAACTATTTACTGAAATCCACTCCAGGATAGACCTTAGTGCAATTATCATGCGGCAGATACATTGGTCCATTGCGTCAGGATCGCCAGCTATTTGAAAAATGAAGTGAGCGGAACTTGTGTCCATCCGAAATTACTTGTAGTGTGTGACGAACATGGGTCCTTTTATACTTGTTTCATAGACACTATGCATCGACGGAAAGCGAAAGCGAGTTCTGACTAAAAGCAGCCTGTTGTTTCATGTGGCATAGGATAGGATGTTGAAAGCTGCGATGTAGGTCATGATTTCGGTTTATTGTACTCCGTAAAAGTTTAGATGCGGGACAGCGGTTAGGCGACTCACAGCTAAATAGGCTGTAATGGCTGACAGATTAGAAACTGTGAGAACAAATGATACTTGTCGGTTGACGACACGGAAAATACGACTTCATCCCAAGCTTTGGACTCAAGTGTGACCTATAAGTTAGTAGCACGATAAGGATTGGTTCGGTAGTCCCAACTCTAGTTTTTGACTCAAGTCTGACCCGTAAGCCAGCAAGCCCTGGAGTCTTTCGATGTGCCCCCCCCTCAGAATCCCTTGGCTGTGAGATAGCTAGCCTACTCTGATAGCACAAGGCTTTGATGGCTGACTTCTGATACTGCACATGGCAAGCACCTGGAGGCGCACCGGACTCTGCCCGGTGGATGGTTCGGTAGCGGTCAAGCGTTGGGCTTCCAAAACGATGATGATGATGCAGCAAGCCCGGAGTCTTTCGATGTGCCCCCCCTCAGAATCCCTTGGCTGTGAGATAGCTAGCCTACTCTGATAGCACAAGGCTTTGATGGCTGACTTCTGATACTGCACATGGCAAGCACCTGGAGGCGCACCGGACTCTGCCCGGTGGATGGTTCGGTAGCGGTCAAGCGTTGGGCTTCCAAAACGATGATGATGATGATTTTTTCGAAACCATCCTTCCCCGGCGGAAAGTAGCATCGCTACCTCCATGGATATAAAAATGTTGGTCGCTTGCATGAAGTAGCTTACTGCCAGAATAGTCTGGGGGCTGCATGACTGTTCAAGTGCGATGACAGTAAGTGTTCCAAGCATCTGCTGTTACCAAGATGTACTGTCTCCGGGTCGTGTTGAACGACTGTTTCGGCTCTTCCTTGAACTCATCCTTTTTTGTCTGGTCCTGTACAAGTGTGGGGACGTAAACTGATATCATAGTCATGTTAACGACCTTCTCTTTTAAACGACCACTACTGGCCTTTGAAGTACTTGATTCCGGACGATAAGTCAGTTACTTAGGCCTGTGTTTTGCATTGGTCAGCTGAGACAGAGTCAAGAAGAGGCGTCTGATCCAGGAATCCGGATTAGCTTGGAAGGCAGCTGATATCCGATTGGTAATCATAGTCTGTAGATGCTGATGATTTGGCTGCCATTGTCATGCAGGGTAGGAACATTTCGGCGATCAAAGAATAGTTTGTTTCTTGTACTGACAGCCCCAACTTGAGTTCTGGTTAACTGGGCTACTGGGCCAGCAAAGGATGCATTGCTCTCATGGGATGCCGTACCATGAGTGGAATTGCTTGCAAGGTGCAGCACCAATGATGCTTCATAAAGATTCATTGCGGATCCTGTCCCTAGCACCATGGGATTTTGATGGACAAAGAACCCATAGCCTTCGCACAACCAACTGCAACCTTCCAGGCAACAGGACACATACGGAAAATAGTTGATTATCAACGCCAGTATGCTTGTTGGATTCCGGAAGTAATTTCGTCTGCCTGATACACCACAGCTGGCGCAAGTTCTTGCGGTCGTTTGTTTGGGATCGGTATTTAATTCACCTCTAGACCCGCAGCCAGTAAACCGTCAACTAATTCTAATGCCCAACACCCACTTTTACCCTTTCATTGGTGAAAGCGCTGCCACTGAGAGGTAGTGAAGCGGAGTTCCCAAACAGACCACGTGATGGCAGATCATGTGGGGTTATTTCAGTGGGATGAAAAAGATGACATTTCTCTTTCCCCAAAATACCCATCCGGACCATAATGGTTAGGGAGGCATGAGTGGTGTTATATTGAGAACTTACAACACCCTTTATATCTAACATCCCAAGCTGTATCAGTTTGCTGCACACGCTCTCAGTTTGAACGGTTGCCAACCAGAACTACCGCTTGTCTCGGTTCCGTACTCCTTCACCTTGGACCATATATGCCGATTCGTACTCTCCTTATCTGGACTATCTCCTTTCATTACCAGTACAGAATGCCCTTTTCTGTTATGGATGCCGAACCTCCTGGCATGTGATCATGATCCATCGCTTTTGTTGGGGTAAGAGGAACAAAATTGTAAAGAAGTTGAGGATTAGCCTATTGAATGCTAGAGTGCCTGTCAACCTGTAGATTTCAAGAGACCTGTTGCGGTGTTGTTTCTTACTGTTGCGGTTTTTGTTCGTTACAGTCTATGACCACAATTGCGGCCAATACCTATCAGACGTTGTTTCCCGGTCAAACAGAAGGTAAGTGCTTTTTGGCCGGTCTCTGGTACCCTTTCACTTTTTAGTTAGAATTCAATGTGTTATCTCCAAATTTTACCTCAACTGATAAGTTCGGAACGCATTTCTTAAAGATTGCCAAACTATATATATACGCGATAATTTAGTATATTGTGTAAGAGCGTTCTTTCCATTTTTGGCCTACTGATCTGTATCGTCCCGGTTGAGTGTTACCTGAAACGTATGATAGTCGATCGTTTAAACGCGGTGCTATTCGCTCAACGTAACTTTCCTGCAACAATTTTGTTCAGGGGTTTTCTCGTCTTTTTGATATAATACTGCGAGCACTCTGGCAAGTATTGGTTCCTTTTGCTGGGTAGTGGGATCTTCGTAATGTAATTTATTAGGTGATGCAAAATGTGAAGGATCAGGTGACGGCAAGATTTCCATCACACGTCGCTCCACCTCCAATCTATGCGTGAAGTTTCGCGTCACCGTCAGACGCGGAACATGGCGGTCTAACTTACACGACACACGTGGATATTGCAGCGACCTTCGCACCCACCTACACATTACCGGAAAACGCAGAGATCTGTAAGAATGCAAATTATGTTCACTGCAGAAGCCATTACGGCATAAGGATTCATCAACCCGAGTTTTGTTTTCAACTCTGATCTGTGCAGATGATAGCGATTATGTTACCGGCTTATCAAGTAATAGGATCACGTGGCTGTCGTCGATCGCTCGGCTGACAGGTTCAGTTTTGTCGAGCTTCTCTGTATGCCCGCACTCGCTAATCTGCATACTGTTTGGTTCAGCTCCGATGGTTATCTAAGATGAGACAGTAAGCAGTGCATTTCGGATCTTCCGACCCAGTTGCACTGATGCACAGACAGAAGGATCGAGTTCCTGTCCGTCGCACGTCCACTTATCCAATAGCGGAGCAGCCTCGGTGGTTCCCTGAGCAATGGTGCGCATACGTTCACGGTCGTGGGGCAACACAATGTGTAGATTGAATGACCGGAAAACTGCGTTAGCGGCCCGTGAAGCCCGGTATTCCGGGTACGCATTTTCGCTAGTTCTCGAGAAGGCGGTCGTATCATGCGGCATTTCCAATTGTTCGAATTAGTTCTGGGATTAATGCCGCATGATCCCTCGTTTGGAATCAGTTTCTCGCTTTTAGCTGAACATTGTCCCATCCTCTCATGTTCCAACAGGTTTATGCGGCACCTGGGCGTCAAGTAGGTGCAGCAGCCAAAAACTCGACTGTTTCACCTCTACNGATATATCATAGCCAAAAACTCGACTGTTTCACCTCTACCTATTCGAATAAACCTACCCTTCTCTAACGTTTATCAACATGTTTCTCCTGGCATTTATGTCTGCATGACTGTGTTTTAAAAATATTTTCCATCCTGTCTTTCCAGTTTTCCTCAAGCACGATGAAAATGTCGTCTTGAGTCTGGATATGTCAAATTCGCAAGAAACGACTGGTGCAACATTTGTTCAGCAAGTTTGCCCAGTAACACTAAGTCAAGAGAACAGTGTCACTTCGGAGAACCTCACCGAATTAAAGGTATGTTTGTCATTAGTTCGCACTTGAAGACTGCCTTGTTAAATCACCGGGGCTCATGTTCTTCGACGCTTGTTTGCTTATTTTTACACATTAATTCTCATTTACTCCTATTTACGAAGGCTAAAAAGTGCACAAGGATCCGGTTCGGAAAGCTTCATATCAGTGAAGTATCTCCATTAGTCGAGTCTTACTGAGCCCATGACGTTTCGACTATTTGCAGCACGTCATTTGGAGGTAACAGTCGTTTTGAAATTCTCCATCCTTAAGGTAGCGGTGGTTTCTTTCTCTTCCGGTTTCATGCATCCCTGTCCGTATGTGGCTGATTCCAAAGCCTCATTTAATTGCGACAGCTATACTTGGAGTCATCCTCAAATTTTCCCATATGTAGAATCCACAGATATAGTGGAGTTCCCCAGATACATTAGAGCATTTGACGTTCCAGCCTAAGTGTGAACGCAGCTACACGGGGACCCTTGTGGGATATTTATAGGTCTTGACCAGAAAAGTGTCGCCATTAGACCGAAGAGTAACGGGTTTACAAAAGCGCTAGGGGATCAGGTGGCTGTTGATCCGTTCTTCGAGTCTGGCGATTGGCTCGCACATAATTGTGTGAAGATTTTCTCCACCTATCGCACCTAGTTTATGTAGATTAATAAGGGGGCAGTTCATTAGTCTCTCAAGACAAAACACTTTGTATGCCTCAAGCTCAAAACTACATAGGAAAACTCGCAGAAGGAAATAGATGGAGCCAAAACTCGACGGATGAAATCACTGCTTGTGGAATTTACAACCAGTAAGTCAGGACACCAGACGGAACAATAAATGGAGCTTGCGTAACGCAGAAAAATGCTTCGTAAACCAGTCAAAAGCCAGAAAATCAAACTACAGTGCAAAAGAAATGGCATATGGATTACTCGATTCAAAGAGGACAAAATATCTAAAATATCAGTCATCCTACTGGCCGGTCAAGTAGCAAGAAGAGAAAGCGGACCAATCAGAACATAGGGACATAACTATTGAAATGAAGGTGTTCACGACCCAACAAAGTGCAACATAACCAGACCACAACACAACACAAAATCCAAACAGATCGATGAAAGTATATTCGAGACATTCTTTCAACAGTCATGTTAGGTGTATTATTTACTACGTATAAATCACACGGATGCAAGCAGAATTGGACTGAATACACAAATAACCACTTATTGACGATGTCATCGCGCATAGTGATAAAACGTTTGCATACCGATGATCGTGCTCAGCGAACAAGTAAACATTCACCGGACCAACAACCAGTAAACGCACGCGGGCTACTAATATTTCGACACCTCAGCAAGGATGACCATCAAATAAGTTAAATAAATGCATACCTCAACTGTAAAGTGAAAGAGAATCACGTCGACTAGTGTAGGAGTCTTTGAGCCTTGATCCCACTCTTGAAAACTTGACATCTTTCAGGGCACCTCCTCTGTTTTAGAGCGATTGCAGTGGAATGTTGATTTCACACTCAAACCACATGACATCGGCTGTTATCGATACTCTGTTGGTTTTCGAAGTGATCCAGAGGTGTCTTGGAATCGATTTGGCTGTGTACTAGCATCCCAAAAGATCATGGATTCGGCACCCCAAGTAGGACAATGCACATCCCCAATTTTCACACGATAAGGTTCCGATCTGCTTGTTGTTAACGACCACCGCTTTAAAACTGGAAGTGCAGGAAACTGAAACCAGTGGGCCGGACGCGATGCGTCAGTTACCACAAACGGATTTTCGGCAAAGTTGACTTAGGAGACCGGAAAGCTAGCTCGTTGTACTCCCAGTATAATTTGCATCCTGACAACGCTGCTAAAGAAGCTGGACTCTACTCCGGTTGCAAAGACAACAGTCCTCGGTTCTGAGATCGAGGTTAACCTTAAGTGATTTTCAAGAAAAATTATCTGAGGTGAAAGCACAAAGGCCGCGATGCATGAATCGTAATGGGCCAACATCGAGTTTCGTTAGGTAAACTCAGCCAGTTCATTTGGCTGTGATATAACACCCGGTTGCACTCTGATTTTAGGTTTTCGTTCCCATTCATCGCGTACCTTATTGTTACTATTGCCACTCATTATTCACTCTTATCAACCTTTGAGGAACTTTTCACCTCTTGTAGTTCCTGTGCCGTGGATTTCTCTTAAGCGTATCGATCGACTGTTATCGACCAGTTCCCGTAATCCTTGTTCTACAGTATTTTGTTTGGTCAGGCTTGCACTGTGAAACGTTTTGCCACCGTATACAAATATAAGCACAGTAATAGGTTAGAACTACTTCACATTCGGTCCCATTCTTAAGTTTTGGGTGCTTCCCGTTCGAAGGTAATATTATACGTCTTTGAAAACTCAGTATATGTTCATTCAATTTGAGTTGTATAGTATTGGTACAGGACAGACAACATAGAGAAAAAACAACCTGTAGCTATTACCGGCAGTTTGATGGAACTCTTCCTTAACATCCTCGGCGTCCTAATGAATGGTTTGTTTATTCGGATCTGAACAAAGTGATATAAATTCTTTAAACTTTTCCCCTCCGGCTTTTGATTTCGCACTGAAGGCGTGCTGAATGAACACTACTTACAGCGACGGTCTGCGTCGAAACACAACATAAGTTTGAGTCAAGTGACGTTTGTAGCCCTTTTCGTTAGTCCTTTTGCAATCCCAACCGTCCGTATGAAGATTACAATGTTGTAAGGCCCTGGTGAATTTAACTCACAAAGCCTTCTTTAGGTTACGGCTTTCCCGTTCCTACATGCTTCTTTCGAGTTATGTGGCAACTATGCACCGGAAAGGTGTCACAGCCAAATGATTCAAGACCCGAGCCCATGCGGGTGTGATATACCAACCGGTCTTTCATGAGGACCGGATAGCAGCTTTCCTATCAAATAGCACCCCGGTTCCACCAAATCCGAGCAGTCTTATCTGTTCTCACGTAATGTCATACGTGTGCGTTCAAACGAATAGAGGTAGCATGATGCCTAGTCATAACAGAATGATCGTTGCTCAGTTCAAGACCAATATGTCGAACTTAAACATCCGCGCATGATACGACTGTTACTGACGTCAACATTTACAGTCTCAAGTCTGCTGCATTTCTCGTCCTTCCGGGCTTGATTGTCATCGCGTTTTAACAGGTGGATTTTGTCTTGGCCACACAACTTCATTTGAAGTTTCTCTTTCAGTGTATTTTGCCTTCTGTCCTCTCATTCACGAATCTGCCCATCGCCTCTGAGTGCAGTACGTTATAGTCACCTTTGCTGCTTAATCGTAAGATCAAGTCAGGCTTCAATGCTTAAACGCCTGTCCACAGTACGTGGCTCACATGGCCATTATCAGGAAGCCGGCTGACTACAAGCTCTTGGCAGAGATGAGTTTTGAGAATAAGTGAATGTGACAATCACGGCAGCGCACTGAGATGCCAGCTGCCACAAAAATGAGTGAGTCAAGCTGTAGGATGAGCTCCGAAACATCCAGCATATGATGTAGTAACATTTTACAGCGCAACTTTTTGATAGCGTTGATCACGGCCGTCGTTGCCCAGATGTGCTAAATATAATCTATTGCCATCGAAACTCTGGATTAACATGGGTCAGTCTGGATGTTTTACAGTCTGTAGCTGGTCCCTACTGTTCTTTGCCACTGCTTACTGTTTATTGCAATATTTGTCTCATTTTCGCAGAACTCAGAAGCTCTTTCCGGTGGTAACAACACCAGAGGATATACTTGCTCCATTTGCTACAAATTCTATCTCACCGAAGGCCATCTCCAGGCCCATTTGGACGCCGTTCACAAAGGTATTTTCTGTGGTGATTTATAGTAAATACGTCTGGTGTGTTCAACGGGTAGGCCTTCGTTGTCATCATTGCAGGCATCAACGTTATTGTTGAACACTTATGTTTTACTGCGGCCCCACCATGTCAGTCTGTTGTTAAAAACGACAGCATAAACTGAAACTGGGCAAGGTTTTTATCAGGGATTGCTATGAAAGGCCATGTTGAACCTGAGAAATTGTGTATGCCCTCAATTTCGATCTTTCATCTTTGGTTGCATACAAAACAAGGATGCATTGAACAATCTTGACGTAATCCTTTGAGCCCCTCTAGGTAGACTCGCACGCTGAACGGAATACTTTGTGCTTCAGTCTAAAATCGAAGGAACAACTTCAAAGGGTGAACAGAATGGTTGCTTTTCATTCTAAAGTATGCTCGGTTATTGCCTCAGTTCTTGCCACTGAACAACTAGATGGACCGGTCGCCTACTTCGTAAGTTACAGTCAGTGTCGATTAGTATGGGCCCGTGTGCTCGACCCTGATTTAATTATTTCTGAGGGCGGAAACTGAAGGTCGTTTCTAGTACCATCGCCAGCCCTATTGCCCAAATAAAAGTATGTAAACAGAGTGGCGTCTTCTAGACAGCTTTCACTCGAGCTCATGTTCAACCGGGAGCAAAATTTTCACATGATCATATTTGATAAAGCATTCATCTTTTGTACTGATTCCCCAGTCGTATCGACCAGTAGCGCTAAATAAGTTGTTATGGACCAATCAGTCAGCGGTTACGATTAGGTGCGGGAATAAAATTAACTCAAACAACAAAACCACAGGCTACCCACTCCCCGAAAATTCTGTAATTCTGCTCTCGCGGTAGTGCTTAAGATTGTGTCCCTTGCCCACCTACAGCTACGGCTTTGGTAGCGAATCATTCTCACCTCCCGAAGACATCTCACAGTTTGTGATCGCAAAATCACCCGTCGTTTGCATTTGATCATTTTCTGGTTCTTGCGCTCCAATGGCTGTTGAACATCACTGTTTGTCCAATGTGGTGCATGTTGAAATCATGGCCCTGATGCTAACCGTTTGGACAAGGCGATCCGACATCTTATGGGAAATTTGATGTTTGGCAACTCCCTCACTTTGAGGAGGTATTTACCTTTAGTGGGAGCTTTCGTGGGGTGAAGTAATCCTTCTAGATGATGAAACAGATTGGAAGCATACAACACCCTGTGTCCTTTGGAGACATTCGAGCTCTGGTTATATGTATCTCTATTGTTGAGTTTAATAAGACTTCCTTTGCATTCGTTTGATCCAGTAATGAGATAATGAGTGCTTGCTAAATTAGAGAGTGGAGTGCATTTGATTCTTTTGTGGAGGGTAATTCATCCTCATACGATATCGTAACTGCGCCTAGTAACTCTACTCCCTGAGTGGTGCAAACTGTTTACAGGTATCCCTTACCAAGTTACTTCGATCTCGATAGCTTTCACTAAGGGCCACGATGATTAGTTCAGCTGTTGGGTGACCGACTCGTCTGCTTACCTAAAATACCGACTTTTGGAGGCTTCGTATCTAATGTCACATCTCTCCCAACACAGCCTTGGCTGGACTAAGGTGACTTTTCCTAAAACTAAGTGCTTTACTGCACCCGGAATAATCTCAGGCGGAATCGACTGTATGAATACATCTCAACTATGTTCACCGCTCTCAAAACTGGAGTGGGTGGTACGCGGGGATCGTACTAGGTGGCATTGCATATACTTAGTAGCCTCGTTAATCTCATTTTGTCCGCATTATTTACGTCTCTTGTAACTTTTAGTGGTCTGTTTTTTTTAAATACATGCAACCAGTAAAATTCCACTTTCGATCTTCTTTACTGCTTTCAGTTAGGGATTTGTTATGTAGACTTGGGCCAACGCTTAATAAAGCATTTGGTGTAGTGTGTGAATACATCACTTTCGATTTATGTGTATCTGACCCCTAGTAGGTCATTGTACTCATATACATAAGACGGAACAATGCATATTTCATGTGCTTGCGTTGGACCTGGAGTGTATACGACAACACTTTCAATACACCCACCAAACGTCGTCATGCGCCGATAGTCGACTGCAAATCCTGGGAGTGAAGCAATCAACCACCCTTGTATTTCAAAACCTACCGCATCTCCTGAGAGATCCATTACTTAATTTCTCAGGATTTCAGCTTAGACTAAGATACGGAACTCTGGGCAACATGTGACGGAAGTTTTCGTTACTTTACGGGCACATCAGGCTTTACCCTCAGTGTTTCTGCACTCATAGTAACCTGAGGAAGAGTTCACGAAAACTATTTGTTTTGAATTTCACAAATGTGTAGCTTGTGTCTCAAGCTTTTTGGAGGTTTTGTGCACCTACCGAACTAATTGTTTCTTCCCTTTATTCATTTATCCATCCGGGATAAACTGACTTTCGAGACTGCAGTGCAGTTTTTACCCTACAATCTTCACTTGAGCTGCGTTCTGACGTAAGTAACCATACGAATACTGTGGGGAGCAATGCTGGACTTTTGCCTAGTACAACAGAAGAAATCGTGGAATACGTTTAGCCACAACTGTGCACGTATCCAGTTGGTTTGAGTACAGTATTTCGTACAGTACTGACAGCCCCCATAGGGAACAAACAACAACAACAACCTCATACTCGACGAAAAAAACTTGTGCCTAGGAAACGCACATGCCTTTTTACTTCCGGGAAGAGGTACCAAAACGGCGGTGTTCTGTGTCCATAACTCACTCTTACCCGAAGCAGCTGTTGTCTTCAGCACTACCACTATACCATTCCATGGCACTGGATGAGCGCTTCAATAATTTAGATGACCTTATCGGTAGTTTAGTCTTGTGGTCTTGCACCTCTTTTCACCTGTTCTCACCTACATCTCCCCCTTCTTCAGCTTGTTACTGTGGTCAATACATCTACTGATACCCTAACCGTTAGTTCGTGTCTTAACCGTCGTCTAGTATAGTAAACCGAAGTAATACCTTACTAAACTCCAAAGATCTGACCCACATTGTAGCTTCCAGCGTCCGTGCTCTGTGTCCAACTCAGTAACAGGCATTGCCTGATGAAACTGTCTTTTCTTTCTATTTATCTATGTTGTTTCTCCGAAACACGCACTTCGGTTATGCTCCCCAAGCCACCAACGATGGACTCAGATGTTTCATATTTAGCTCTTCAGGTATCTGGCGATCCTGGTGCAATTGCTCTTGGTATCCATGATGTAGGAGTTGCACTAAGCCTCAGAGATCAAAGCGCTTCACAGGACTGGATCCCAGTAAACAGTCGTCTTAGTGCTGCCTGGTTGTGGGGTTAAATTAAGATCAGTGCAACTCAATGTCGTAAACTGTGTCTATTTGTTGTATCTGCATACGTCCCTACAGGCTAGTTCTGAAGCTGAGAAAGGTTAGTTTTGTCGAGGTCTCTCACGATGGCCTCATTCAACAAGAAGAATGGACATGGTCATCCTGGCGGATGAAATGAACCCCAAGGTTGGACGACTAAGCCTGGAAGAATCACAGTTAGGTGGTAGCTTTGGAGCCGATGCTTAGCGTACGCGACCTCTTATGTTATGTACTGAGCATCGTCTGTTTTTGCGTAGTACGGACTTTCAGCATAAGCGCTCACACAGAGTTACTTGAAGGCCACCAACCGCAAGCCATTCATGGATTCAGTTGGGTCATGTGTAGGTACAGGTAGGGAGCCTCAATTAAAAAGTTCCGTTTTCTCTGGGTTAAGTAACTTACCTCCGATAGTGCCACTGTGTGAGGTCGGTTTTCCCAGGATTGGGCATGCTGAAGAAGAGTGTTTCCGCTGCAGACGGCTGATTCGAAAGGCTGCAACGAAAACGGAGTACCGCCTCAGTCGTGATCTATGTCTTCAAAAAAGACACAGTAACACTATGGGAAAGTTATCGTGTCGCAGCATCATACTTGTAGCTGTTGTATCCAAGGTGCTCCTTGGGATTACTTTGTGCGCTTTATCGACAATCTGGAAAGCCAGATTCGCGGAAGTTGAGTACACTCTGCTCCATCTGAGTGTGCGTTGACCATATGTTTACTGTTCTCGAACAGTACCACTCTCAAACGTTCGGTGATTGTCTTTTTCTTGATTTCAAGGTTGATTTCCACTCTATGGAGCTTCAGAAGCTATGGCGGTGTCTAGTGATCGTGCCCTTTCTCCTGTCCCATCTCATGTGGCTGCGTATATTTATACAGCAAGCTGTCGCCTCAGTGCACCATGTTCAGTGGTATGAGACAAGACTGTCCTCTCTCTTGTCATGCCTTTTCAGTGTTGTTATTAACATGCTACATGAAACTTCTATGCCTGTCTCTGTGACCTCATGGACAGAAACCTACCCTGGGCGTTCGCTCGGGAGTGAACCTAAATAACCTGAATAGTCTCACTGCTTATTTGGTATATGTTTCGCACATGTGAAGTGTAAAACTCTACTGAAAGACAGTGCGAAGAAACCCAAACCTCATATAAAAATCGTCCAGCTGTAGGTGCCTAGATGCTATGCCACGGTCTGGTGGGACTAGTGGGTCTGCGACTCTGACCTGATCTTCTTATGAAGAAGGAACGCCTCTGTGATAGATGAGCTACTCATGCTTCATAGGTTACGCTGCTTAAGATACTCATTCTGTATGCCGAATGACTGTGTTCCTTGCAGCGCTCTTGTCCGGCCCTGTGCTGAGTGCAAGCGACCTGGCAACGGAGTATGAAAACACTAACCGGTAAGCTCAGTCTAGCTGAGAACTGCTGCCTTCTTGGACGAGGATTCGGAGACTTAACCGATCAATAGTCATTGACACTAGCTGTTATGTTTCAGTCACGTAGTCGGCGGCACTCGTGCATCAAAGCTGTCGCCTCTAAAATGTAGCTGCCCAGTGTTCCGTTACCTCGAATAATCAGATTGATTCAATACGAACTAAGTGGTTATGCTTGGCTACATCTCCTCCACTCTCCCGTTTTCCGTGGCAGCTGGAACCAACGTACACTTGATACAAGTTTTATGGTTGATTAACTGGAACTGGAGCTAGATCTGTGTTGCGTGTGTTGGACTATTACGCAATCGCAGCACGGATCGAAATCTTTGATACCGGAAGGTAATCCGATACAGTGGTCTCCTCAATGGAGACTAGCCGTGATACACAAACAGAAGGGTGCCTTTTTGATGGAGGGTTGCCTTAGTCAGTGATGTCTCTCCGGCAATCCCGTTTTCTCATGAAGGAAACTACTCATAAGGTTGCTGAAAGCACTAAGTACACTCATTTGCATACCAGTTTGGTTTTCATAGGAGGCTCATCTGAATCCCAACTGAATCTCTCAGTGATTTTTACTACCATCTCATCAGCCATCATTCAATAAAAAAACCCTCGGTTATGACCAAGGCTGCAGATTTCTGAAGGGCCGTTCGCTCGGTAAGTGCGAGTTCCTCGATAGTCACATCGTGAGGCACACCTACCCTACTGTCTATGTTGCTTAATTGTCTGGCTTGTATTCCACACTGAATACAACTGGCCTGGACCACTGACAGACTGGGTTTACGTGCACGCCGTTGGACTGCATCAAGTATGCGCATCGTTCACGTATATGGAGACAATAATCAGAACGAGATCTACCTGACTGTATGCATGTGAACAGGGGGTGAACTAGTTGATCTCAACCACAGTGTGATATCTCAAGAATTCCTGATACACAAATCCAGTGGAGTGAGCCTCTACAACCTCCAGTGATTGCAGCTTAGAGTTCACATTGAGAGGCAAAAATATCACAGATATGAGCATTGCAACTATCGCGAATCAGAGCAATTTCCCCCCACTTCGCTACAGACAGCTTTACATCCTTTTGTAATTGTGAAGACCAGGAAACTGTTCTTCATCCTGTGATATTTATTGCAAATCAAGACAGTTCGTTTTGAGTATCTCACGTTCATCTCCTCTCGGCGCAAGAGAAGAGGTAAAATGACCATTTCATCGTGGTTGAAAATACTTATCAAAAAACGGTATCCGGTTAGTTATAATGCGCCACAGCTTCCGAAGTCGGCAGTACCGGCGTCCAAATCACCACACGGCGACGTGCTTCGACTACGCGGTTGCTGAGATTCGAATAGCCCAACCGTTGCTCGTGTCAAAGTTCGTACGCCCCAATGGATGACCTTTTTGCAATTAGCACAGTTTGTACGTACTTTCGGAAACCAGCCCTCTACGTCACAACTTACTGGCCTGGATACCCATTCCTCTTGTTTCGTCATTTTCTTATGTCCCCTTTCATTCTTTCCCTGTGAGCACGCCTTTCCAGAATATTCTTACAATCCGTCACTCCAACACTTGGTCATAACGACCTGCTGCGTCGGCTCGGTCAAAAGACCCGCACTTGCTCTTTCAGCCGCATGAGTATTTAATTCCAATCAGGCACAGCGGACCAACAAGTGAGCGATTTGGTGGGGGGGGGCATCGGTCCCATGCCTGAGTTTCATAGCAGTCTGATTGAACGCTTTGACAAGCGACTCCGTACAGGTGAATAGTGATGAACCCAGAAAATGGGCACTAACCGCTCATCTGTCAATATGATGTCGCAATCCTGACCGTCCCATGCAAAAGGTCACGGGGATTGGAGTTTGAACTCGATGCTCAAGAAGCAGCGATAGCCATGGTGCTTAAACTGATGCATCGCACAAATTTTCCGATAGGTATAGTTGGTTCTTCTCACATAATAATAGTAAACGGTTTCGCAAAAACTTGAATGTTTTCGAAACGGTGCGCTCTCGGGTTTGGGAAGGTTCCTTACTTTCCGGTGCGTTGCTCCACAGCGTCTGATGTCGATATGTATGAATCCACCGGAGAACGTTTATCTGAACAGAGCTTGGTATCACTTGTCCACATGAAACCATCAGGTCCATCTTTTACGTGAAAAAAGCCTCAAAGCAAACGAACTGTTGTGGAAAGAAGGCAAACAAGCTTCTCGGATAAAACCTACTCTCCCCTCGACCATAATATTAAGTTGGACAAGCGAGTCTAAGAAGTATGGAGTTTACTCAGGTAAGGCAATCATCGTACCCAAATCGCGTTCACACATTTCAGACTGCTAAGTTGTCTGATATCTGCTGCCCCAGGTCCGTATCTTTTCCCATCGATTTACGGAGTACGAAGGTCACTTTCTTATGTTTTTGTGAGAAAGTGAGGGGACGCTGTGTCAGGTGTAAGTCTTTATTTTCGATTTAGCTAACAAACTTTATCCTACTAGAGAGCAACCGTTCTCACACCATCAGATTCCCACGAAAAGCAACGATAATCTCGTAGTGAAATGGTTGGAATTCTTCATGGTGTTATGAGTGTTGATGGCTTCCCGCTTCACACTCGGCTTGTATTCGAGCGAATTTTCTTGCCTGTGCATGTCAACGTTCTTGCCTGGTCACCTGGTAACGCGAACAAGACATACATGGTTGTCATCACTTACCACTCCGCCGTTTTCGACATCACTTTCAGTACTTTGATAGTCAACACCTACATGTTGATTATGCGTTTTTTATCTAATTCAATCAACAATTGTCGATGTGGCACTCTTTCTTCTGAAGAACGGCACTAGTTTCATCCCATATTCGAGTATGAACTCGCTCACTCTTGTTCGATTGGAGGCGAACACGAGTGTTTCATTATCCGTTGCTCAACAAGCCTATTTAAAATCCTTTTTGACCTTGTGAATTGTATGCATCGACCTTGTAAACTCTAGCACATTCTCTAGGTAATTCGCGCTCACATCTGTCAACCCAGAGGAGCTGGTCTAATGCATTAGGTTTCCATAGTCTGTTTCACTGTAACACCGCGGCGACATTCTCTTCAGTCTAGTCCAGCATTATTCTATCCAGTCGTCAGAATGCAGTGTGAAACAACCGGCGACTGCTATTCAAAATAAAATGAGCTCTGAATGATCGTACCGGAAATTGTACGGTTGGAATAGTTACCCTGCTGGATAGCACGTTCTCAGGCAGTGCTGTTTTCTAAGGACCTTTGGCTCCTCGAACACTCGCAGCTGTGATTACTGTTACAAATTCAACGTTTGGAACTTTGTGAAGTGACCCCGGTCCTCTCGATTCGGAGGGATGAGGTCGCTGACAACCTTTCGTCCGTAATGCTCTCCGGCGAATTTGTTACTATTCCCTTTTAGAATCGTTGTACGCCTTAATTCCAAGGTGAAGCATTGCCTTTGTCATCAGCGGTTCTATGATACCTCCACCTGTCCACGGATGTACGTATATCATCGCACACCTTAGCGATGTGTGATATCACGGAGGGCGCTCCCCAAATGACCTTTTTTTACCTGCAGGGTGTTGTCTCTTGATCCACTGTCGGCCGCGCTAAGGGTGTGATGGCGTTTTTGAGCATTGAAGCAAACATTTCATTCTGTGTTGTACTCTAGAGCCCATCTTGTTGACGGGCTAATCGGTTACTGTCCAACATAAATCGTTTTTTCCCTCCAACAGTAACTATTCTGACCCTATCTCGCATCCTGTCTCCTTTTCTTGTACTTCAGTCGCTCGGCGTTTTCAATGCAGTTTTTGTGGCAAAGCTTATGCGAAGAGTTTCCTTTTAAAGTCACACGTCAAAAGTGTCCACGAAAGTAAGTATTACATGTGCCCGCTATACTTTGCTGCTGTTTGCCGGCTGTGGTTGTTGCGTTTCCTCGCTTCAGGCGACCATCTCAGCTTCGCTTATGATAGTTCAAAAAAGTTCTAAGCCCAACCAGACTTAGATCATCCGCCTACAGCAAGTTCTCATAGTGCTGTTGCTCCAGTCGACTTAGAGGAGTTTTCGGTGTAGCACTTGTGATCCTTTAATAGTTGTCCTTGAACTGACGAACAGTGGTCCCAACCGTAGTGAAGCTAGATTTTCAGCACCAATCCAAGGAATGAATGACTGTAGAGAGTTTCTGAGGTCTCACTGAAGACTTGAACTTATAAGTAAAGTCGAAAAGCCGAGAAGCTGCTTCATCCGTGTGTGCATCTCATGAATCTTTACAGAGATTCAAACCCGGAACCCTGCGGTCAATGGCTGCGCCATATGCCATTTGCTCATGAGTAACTGACCAGCAGCTTGGTTGATTCACAGTTGAACAGAATATAATGGCAATCGTTCGCGTCATACACATCACAGTCGCGCATCGACTTGCCCCTCGGCGACTTCCAACCAATAGACAGAAAGTGGGCTGTTCGGAAAGGAAAACTCTCGCAAGCTACACGAGCTTTCCATTTGAGAAGTCTTCGGTCGAGAATTTTCAGGCTGCGGCTAAAACTATTTTGGTGGGAATAGGGTGATAAATTTTTCCGATGTTACCAGCCCCTCCATTCCAGAAACCAATCAAATCAACCAAATCAAATCAAATTTTTAAAGGCTATTTTAATGATATTTTGCTCACTGTGGAAAAACTAGAACACAGACAAACCTCGTTGTTCATCCCATTCAATCTCAAAAGTTTGTACAGTCTTCCTCTGGCTAAGGAGCCCCTTCAAGCTGGCTTCTTCCAACGCACATACCCCCATGCAAACTACTTTGCAAATCACCAGCATTGGAATGTTTCCAATCAAAGCAGCGTCAACCTCAAAAGGTGTATGCCACATGTGCTGTTCCCTCGCTTTAGTATCCTCTTTCTCCGGCGGGAATACCCTTAAGTCGTCTTGCAGAAGCTGTCGTACTCGATCATTTACCGATCAGGACCCCCCGCAATCGAATTTTCTGATTAGTTTAAGCTGAGTAGATATTGTGATTCTTCCGTTGTATGTGCGCCAACCTACTGCAGTGGATGGCAACTTCATTTTATCAAATCAGACGTACAGTGGAGCAATACAACGCCTAGCTTTGGCACCCGCCGTCTGAAACTCAATAGCTCCAGCTGTCAAATCGACCCGATGACCATTCTGTATAAATCTACCGATCACCCGGCAAGGATGAGTTCTCGGCAGACTTGTTCAAGGTTGGTGGAGACTGCTTCCGTGGAGTCCCATAGTTTTATGTGTTTACAGAATGATTCTCAGCCAGACCGTACAAAGCACCGTGGTGCGTTTCATTTTTGCGATCATCGTCATATCGCCATGATTCGTGGATTCCGCAGATTGTTTTTTTTAGTCGTACCCACTAGCGCTACATGCTACATGTATCTTGGAGGTTGCATGAGCTCTGACGGTAGTGTGAATCTCAAAGGCCGGAAATGCGTTTGCCAATTTGTGCCAATTGTGACGTTAAAAAGATGTATCATTGGGTCTCAAATTATGCATACGTCAGGCTACAGGTCGTATTGTTGTACGCCCGCGAAACTCGGCCACTTCCGGCGGGGGACATTAGACATCCTCAGGTTTTTGATTCGGTGTGTCAGAACTATGGCTGGAGTCGGTTGGAACCAGAGAATTCACAATGAGGGGATCAGGAAACGGGTCTTTAATAAATCAGACGGTACTCAACTCAAAGAATCCATCCAGAACTGCAAGCTAATTTAGCTGGGTCTCGTGTAATGCAAATCAAGTTATCAACTGCTGAGACGAGTGCTGCCTTCCGTGGCTTATTCGAAGTGATGCAAACCTAGAGGTGGACAGAATATGGAGTGACAAGAGAATAAAGGATGTTAAGGAAATTTTGGGTGCTGTTGGTGTTGTCCGCCTGGTCCGCGTGACCTTCCCTGTGCTTGGTTAGAGGCACTACGGTATGGCGGCTAGCCGATGTCACTGGTGTTCATGCTGTCAGTTTCTATCCAGATTGTCTGGCCGAGGTGTAGGCACCTCTGATGTTTGTGGTAAATTAAGCCCAGTTCCCATCCCTTCTTCACTTTCTATTTCCGCCGTAAATCACAGTGATTTTGTTGGATGCTACTCCTCTTCAACTTCAGCTATTGTGCTATTCACTCAGCGTAACTCATTCCGTAATCAGCGTACTTCATTCGATATCCATTGCTATTTATTTGGTCCGACAAAATTTCCCCGTACTTGTTAACCCGCAGTCACTACGACACTACACTGATCAGCTGCCGCTTGTATATCCTCAGAAGTATACTGAGTGGAATCCTAAGGAAGACGCTCTAATTTCCATGAATAACACAGTGTTCAGATTTACAAAATGCGTTGCTCCAGCCTTTACTTACCTGAATTTAGCTTCAGGTTTCCGACGAAATTGATGGTGGTGCGCCACCACGAAGCCACCTGTAATCAACTGTGAATATATGGTCCTGTTTGAAAACTCTGTCGGATATACAACTCTAACACGTTTGTGGTCTATCTGTATTAAATAAGACGTATAATTTTTAGCCCAATGAAGCACAAGACCTGTACATTTTCATGAAATGTTCACACATACAATATGCCTCATATGTACTTACTTTACCTGCTTTATTGCGAGAAGAATGAGGAAGAAGGCGACTTGGTTCCATGACTGTCCTGAACTCCCGCTGCAAATGAGGCGCGCCTGGCTGCTGTGCTTCCTTAACATGCTTTGGTACCGTAATCCGTATGGAGACCCAATGGTTAAATCTCAGTCCTAAACTTTTATTGATGGGTTTCCAGTTGCCCCTAGGTACGACAGAGCTTCATGTGTACCTTCAGTATAGTGGACTGGACGTTTTGTCATTGTTGCGTGAATGGATCGCCAGAGACGCCATCTTCGCTCACCTTTCAAAGTCTCTTGTACGTTTAGCCTATGCTGGAAAAGGGATACTTTTGAATCCAAGGATCAAGCGGCTTACGTTTGTCAAATCCGACTATCCCATCTTACAATACCGCACAGCTAAATGGACTTCGTAAGCTATTGGCCCATTCTACCCCAAAGAATAATCCAGTTTCTGGTACCAACTGGTGCTGTGAGTGAAGAGATAAAATCAAGAGGGTGGGCATGTGAGCTTAAATCATAGTACGGAGATACGCGGATCCCGTGATCGCTTTGGTGTCAGTGAACGAGCGATTATAGCAGTCTGCTACTGAGTTGAAAGATGCACATTTCTGGACGACGGTTAATCAGAACACTCGGAGTTCTCTCACATACTTAAGCAGAGAAGTTTCCCCGAGTTTCTAAATGCTCCAGTTCGTTTCCTTTTGTAATTAGATAAACAGGAATTCGTCTTGATAGTGCTGATGACCATGTCTTTCTTTGCATCCTGTCGGTTCGATGAAGGTATGCATTGACTGGGAGTGACGAGAAAACAGTGACCGGGTTCCAAGTGACCAATCGAAGTTTATGTCAGACCTGCTCTCGTATGCTTCAGATACCTCGAGTTAAAAGTACACCTTTTGAAATTTACTGAAGTTCCTTACTGAAAATGTCAGCCATTACTTGAAATCATCCCATGAACGTGCAGTTCACCTCTAAGCAGATAGCAATGGTTGATGGCCTATGTGCCTTCTTAGGCGAATACGGTATTGTAGATGCTTGACCTGTCCCACCCATGAATGGGCTTATACTTTCTTCGGATTTTAATCACCCCTTTCAAGTCCGTTGTTCGAACCTAACCCTGGCATTTTGACTGCCTCTGTGTAGGCTTGGACAACTTGGCAGTACCGTAGCTCTCGTGCTTCCGCGGGGTTGCAAGGCAGCTAGGCACCAAAAGTGGGTTACAGCTAAACGTCTGGTTCATTCATTGTTATTTGGTTTCATGCTAGTAGCGAATCATTCCGTCAGGACCAGCCAGATTGAGTCTGTCGTACATGTACGTTCAGTTGTATCACCCTTTCGGTGCTTAATTATCATGCCACCCAAAGGTTGTACGAGGGCAGGGATACTGCCAGGTTGCCCAAGCCTAGACGGGGGGAGTCGAGAGGTGGAGGTCGGGTTTGAACCACGGACCTTCCGGTCAGTAAATTCGCACCCTAACCACTTGGGCTATCTCGCCCCGTCGTACATGTACAAGTTGTTTGGAGTCAAAGTACTTTCACCAGCTTCATGTACATACTAGCCCTCAAGCAGTTCTGATTCTTCGCAGTCCCTCTGACTCAATCTCATTCCGTTCAGTTTTGGATAGTGATGTTCCGCCTACCATCATCCAACCAAACGAAATGATTCGACAGGGACACTTGTATTTTATTCAGCACGAAATTCTGTGGGAAGTGCACTTTTACGGAGAGATTCGCAGCAAATATCACGTGTTTTGGTCATGTAGTTAATTTCTGATTGTCTTGCATTCCGTCAATCAAGTCGGTAAAGCGAATCCGTTTTGTTTGCCCAAGTCTAGCAAAGTCTAGCCACCGGCTTAACTCTTGCTGTTATAGATTTGTATGAGGTGATGCACAAATTATGTTTCCTTCGGATGAAAGATTCAGCAGTGACCAAAAACTACTGAAAAGTAGGAAGCGCTAGAGATAAGTTAATAAGGCACGACGTTTTGACCGGAAATATCGGACGAAAAACATGTTCCATTTGCAATGTGGACCCGGGGTTGTTGGCTACCCGCTTGTTAGTCTTCACCCATGGTTGGCACTTGTAGGCATGTACGCTGGACTAGCAGGGTAACTGCAACTCAGCTAAGTCAGCATTTCGCATCCACGGGGCCTACATCAAACAGCCTTATTAGGAATTTTCATTAATTCACGAGGGATTCAATCCACCTAACATAACTGATTTCTATCGGAAACTGTTGATTGACCACCTATGTTACGGAAAGCGAAAATATAGAGTGAACCCACCTAACATAACTGATTTCTATCGGAAACTGTTGATTGACCACCCATGTTACGGGAAGCGAAAATATACGGTGAGCTGTATTCAATACTGTTTTCTGGCACAGTTCATCTAGTGACGATATGATTGATAGTATGTGACCTGAACTCACCAAATCTCCCTAAAAACTATAATTTTCCTGTATTTTTGGTTGTCTCTATCACTCCTCTGTTGCATGAATAACCGCACTTGTTTTATTCCTTCCCTCTACACATCCCGTTTGAACAGACATCCGAGACGTAACGTGTACTATCTGTGCGAAAGCGTTCTCCAAGCGATCTGTTATGCGAAGACACATGAAATCTGTACATGCTGGTAAGAGATAAAACACAACTTACTGCTACAAGATCTTTCGGCGAACCACATTTCACTGCTCCGATATTGTTAATTCCTCACTAGTTACTTTGATTCTCCTTGTGAAATGGCGTTAACTGTGGACTTATTTAGAGTAACCGAATGCTCGATTATGTCCTATCCTTTACCAGCTAACTACTAGGTATGCTGAATCTGAAAACAATCTGTCTGACCCCGGGTGTCTCACTAGCCCGGTGATGCTCGCCTGACACAGTTGCATACTGGGACACTGCATCGGTTGAGCATATGCATGTTATCCCGATCCAGCTGATTGAGCGTTCGGGCAATACAAGCACGATGTATGTGCCCTCTGTCTAGCCAAGTTCCCCAGGTGGGTGACCTGTATGGTGTCAGCTCGATTCTGCCCTATTACGAGTGCGAAAATGCCATCAGCAGAAGGCATTGAGGGGAACCAAACAAGTGGTAGATATTTGTGGAAGATTTCTAGAGTAGCCGGCCACTCACTGTAGTCTTGGATGTGATACACTCATGGCTATAGCCAGGACTTAATTATCAACCCAGGCAAACACCAGTGTTGCGCGGTGGCGACCATTGGGATCGTATGCTCAATATTATGTCACTCGTTTCTTTTCGGTTGATGTCCGAATTTTGTTGTCGTGTAAACATTCGACTAAGTGGAGGTGACATCCATCTAGCATTCTGCCACTTAGTCGTCATCCTGAATTTTTAAAACTAAGAACATGTTCAACTGTGTCGTCAACGCACAGCTGTCGTGTAACCCGTATGGAGCATGAATGCCGAATAATCCAGGCATCCGAAGAATACCAGTTTCCCGTCAAACCTCACTTGCCCGCGCTATCTGAATTTCCAGCTGAGCTACTTTCAGCTACCATCTCAATACGGAGATAGTCCGTTCCAGAACCTACGGTGAATGGAACGTTCGGTCATAAATCAAGTTTAGCCAAAACGGAGGTGAAGTGCAGTGATGCTCCATATGTGTAAAACTCATTAGTTTATTTTCAAATATTCAATTCTAACGAGTTTCAAAAGGCTTTGGTCTCGTGCGTGATATTGACTTTGTTTTGGCGACGATTTAGCACCCCTTACCCCACACAACTTCTTTTGTACTCGGAGGACTCCCTACTGTCGGCAACCTGAGTTTTGCGGATGAAGTTCCCTCCTTAAATATCGAACTTGACGATAGGCTTTTGGATAATCGGTGGTTTTGGTCCCCATATAGGGGGACTGCTTGTCACCAATCCGGTTTCCGTTGTACTGCTTTCATCACACCTTTCAGCGCAAGAGACGTTCATCCACTTGCACACACTCCACTTTCTGTGGTTCTGATGACAACGTCTGACCTGCTCGAGGCGTTGTTCTCACGATGTGTACAAACACGGATATGGACGCAGAACACGGACCGCCCCCTTTCATGTAATCTATCGTTTGGCCGTTTGTAGGAGTCACAGTGCTTGACGTGCATCACCGCCCTCTATCACTTGTGGCTCAACGGATTTCGGGCCCCACAGCATTTCAACCTGCACCTAATCGATGTGTTGTTGCTGGTGTTGGTGGTACGTGTGCCTTTAAGTGCACAAGTTACCTGCGCACACGTTTCGTCTATTTAACTCACATGATGCCTACAAATGTATCCGCGCTTGTCTGTGTGGTGAAGCACACGTTTATCTCGTCAGGACTGCGGGCTTAGATACGGTCGCAAACGCGCAAAGCATACGTCAACCCGTAGACACACGAACAGCGGTCGCACGTGCGCGGGTTGTGCATGCCAAAACGTGCATGCATTTCCGATAAACAGACACACACCAAGTGCGTTCCCGATTGGAATGTATGCGAATCGGCCTAACCACGTCGATCATTCAAGCGACAACCACCTGTCTGCATGCATCAGTCCTCGCAGTCGTGTGCGAACGGGTGGATCGTTACAACCCGCGAGTTGCAACAGGCCTTGTTTTCTGCACGCGCTCACACACAAAAACGTGACGCTATCCTTGCTTGTTGCTCTGTCTGCGCACACGAAAATCCACACGTACGAACCTTGCGCCCCATCGGTTTGTGTCTAGCTTAACTATTTTCCGACGTGTGTTGTAACCTTGCCCGCGTCACCTAATCCGATGAGCACTTACTCCGTGTGATAGTCACAATGAAGTGCTCACTCATCTCATAGTATCACGTCCATCCACTTACTTGCTCTTGCTTGTTCATTCTGTGAATGTGCACAGAGAGCAGGTATGTAGTGGAATCCTATCTGCGCACCGCTCGCATTTCGAGATTGCATTCAGCTATGTTTCCCCAAGCACTACTCGAGCTGTCTGTCAGTAGCTTCGGAGGTTATGAAATTTGTACCGACATTCCTCTCCTATCCATGTGCGATTATGCTGATTAGTCCACACCAAAGTTAGATAAGATTTTGAGTTCCAATTTGGACTGGCCTGTTCGAACCCATCAGCTTACGTGATATTGTTTCATGACCCAAAGGAAATTGGACAAAACCTGCTTTCACGAGAAAACAGACTGTATGAATCCAATTCTAGGTTCATCTTGTCGAAGGGACTCTCGAATCCTATTCGAGCATCACAGCACCCATAGCTCTCATCGGATCCCATAACTCCCTGAACCGTGGATGGCTATCATGCAATGGGTGAACCAGGGTCGTCATTGTCACCCCTGGCTGGTGAAATAGCGGAATACTAGAACGTAGAGGTCGCAATTACATGAGAAAGTGTCTGATCCCGAGCTACTGGTTTAGAGGACAGCTGAAACTGGAATTCAGGATGGCATAGCATATCCGGTTGTTATTAATTTGTCAGACAACGTGTGCGCTTAAAGGATGCATGTCTATGTTTCAGTCATTCATGGACTGGAACCGAATGGTAACGATATGGATATTACTCAGCATAGGGTGCGATTGGATCGTAATAGGACATGCGGAGGCATGAGACTGCCATAGAAGTACAATAAATTAACTAGGCACATCCGCTAGATCCCATATCACGCCTTAAGTTATGCTAACCAAATGAAGGAGCAGCAACAGTGACGTGGTTGTAATCGCCTTGACGAATAGTGCAGAATTATCACGATGTGATATTGTACTGATCGTCAAATATAAAGGAACTTTTATTCATTCAGTGGAATGGGTGTGGATCGAGGGTGCACAACTGGTGGCACGGCGTTAGTTTTGATCGCTTTCAAATTTATCCCATCTACCCTATCTGTTCGGTTGGTCACTATTGCATCACCAACAAACTTGATCTCTTAGTGGCACATGTATTCTCTGATCTCTGTTCCGTCCTGCGAGTCAAGCCGGTATATTCTGAATGGCCGAGGATCTGATTCGTTCTCGTTGGGCATCAGCAGCAGTGCCGAACTCGAAAGTCCCAAAAGGGTCGAGGTTGCACAGTCTGGAGGGATTTCAAACATTCTATCATTCCTTTACTTCCTGTTACTCAGTCATGTACATAGTTGGCAGGTGATTCCAAACAAGGATGAAATGTACATTTTCAACCTCGAAACCTCTTAAAACAAAACAAGGAAAGTTTAAGAACGATAAAAACTGAGACAACTTAGAAAATCGCAAAGTTTTGAGAGACGTTCGTTTGATCGAAACGCGTCTTCAGTTGTTGCTTTGACCATTTCTTGTCCAATTTTGATTCCCTCTTGTTCCTCTCCTTAATCAACCCGCTGCAGAAAAGAAAGATTATCACTGCACCTTGTGCCAAAAACAGTTCACAGAAAAGAAAAATCTACAAATGCATATTAATGCTCTACACAAAGGTAAGTATGCTTTGTGGTTTTCAAATCGCTACCGATCTCCGAAGGTATTTTATCTCTGGTTCGATGCGTTTCTTCGCGCGGTCCGTCGGTAGCCTCCAACTAACCAGTTATGCAATCGACGAATAGGACTGTGGTCCAGGCTATCGAGACACTTAGTTACGCTGCAGTGGAGGTTAAAAGACCGTGTCAAAATCGGCTGTTGACAGAGATTATGCCATATCATCAACGAGTTTTTCTCATGGCCCTTGAACGTGGTGTTGTATAATTAGTTAGCTAGTTCGGCCTGATATCCTAAACTTGAACTGAGCATGACTTGCTGATGTAGGCCTTTCTCGTTCCTGTATCGTTTGACTAATCCTTAATACGTGTACAACACGAGTTATGTGAACGGTGTATGTGAACCACGGCTTTTAAGAAGGCTGCCAAAACTTGAAGGTCAGGATGTGGTCGAACTCCGAACGCCTCTGCCACACGAGCGCTTTCGCATTTACTGTTATTTATCAGTTAGGTGTGTATCCAAGGCATTCCAGGAGCCGACTGGTCCTTCCTCAGCAGATAGTCGTCCTAAAATAAAGCTCTTATCCGACGCGTGATCCTTTCTGCTGTGTGCTACTCAGGTGGTCGAGGGAGAGCAGGTCACTGACGTAATGACTCCTTCGGGAATAGATCCAGCCATTAATGGCTTCGGCGAAACCGGACATAAACTTTATGTCCGATTTCGCCATTCACTGGAATGTAAACCGCTGTAGCTGTGACCGCAATCGTTGTCATCGGCAAAAACGTCATTGTGAGAACGATGATGCCTTACTACCACACGATAGCATTAGTTTATTTAGATAAAGCTCTGTAGTGCAAATAGGAATGGAATATGAGATGGACAGGGGCCTATGGGTCCATTACATTCTCCCAAGGCGCCAAACTCTCGTTCAGACAGTGGAGGTAGAAACTGACGAAGTGAACGTCGTTGGTGTCAGCTAATAGCCATCTTTTGCAGCGTTTTCAGTTGAGCGTATTGTCCCTCCTCTTTTGATTTCATATGAACGTGGATTTGCTCGTGTTTTACGCGAAGCTTTGATCAGTTACGAAGTTGTCCCAATTATGTAAAACTGTGTGGTTCTTTCGTTGGTTCGTTTGCGCAAATACGGGCATTTTCTATAGCCTCAACATAGTGAGTTCTTTTCATGTAGTTTGTAGGAATGAGGTTGAGCTCGTGGTTTCTAGTATCTGCTCGATTTCCGACGTAGACTTCTAACATAAAGAACCATCACGCCCCCTAGAAACTAAGTGATAACCATGTGGCATCCTGTTTGACTCTATACACCTACACAATGGATCAGTAACCGAGGGTTGTCACCTTCAGTAATGAGTCCTCCACGTCATTTCCAGACGTTCGTATTTCCTGGATCTCAGAGTCGTTGAATGCCAGTGCTGCCATGCTGTACAATCCTGAAATTCAAAGATGTGAAGATAGTAGGCAAGACGCTGGGTGACATACGCTTCATCAATTCATGGTGCGAAGTAGCTGATAAGACCAGTCCCTATGTCCATCAGTTATATTGGTCACTGTTCCCGCTAGAACCTGAGTTGCACAATCTGTGACGATCAATTAGCCCACTCGAGACCAAGTACTCATTACATGTGAATGTCTAAAGACTGACCCTCTCCGTACGAACTAAATTCCTGAGTATTTGCCCAACCTGAATTAAACGTAGTTCCTCGCCTCATCCTCGCATTTTGAATTTGGATTAATCCCGATATGTTACTTACAACTGGAATTAGTAAGGTGTGGGCATTCGGTTTACTGACGCGAAGTGAAGCCTTGGATGATGAATAAAAGCACGTGATTCGAAGCATCCGGGAAATGAAGCACAAAGTGTATCGTGTTTTTCTGTTTTGTTGTAAGGGATATACATGTATGTGGTTTCGCTACATGCCAAAAAATACATTAAGTTTGGTCCAGAGAAAGACGGATGCTAAGATAGTGAGGCAGTAACTGATGGCAATAGAATATCGCAGCTTTTGTTAAGACTAGTGGCTGGGTATTTGTTATCGTTAATCACTGGTTGACAAAGTTGATTGTTTTCTGGTGAAATAATAAACCGTGGTCACCGTCCCTGCACACCGAACTAACCTAGACTTAGCAGTCTTATTCAATTAAATTCAGCAAACCCCCCACCTCATTCCAGCCCCAGTACGGCTTGTCTTCACCATTGGCATTTTCCAGATGCACACAGTACCCGGACTATACAGCAACCCTCCCTTCGAATAGCGACCTCCCCACTAAAGAGGCTCTCTCATCCGCGTGTCACAAACTTTACAACCGGCTCGATGAACGAAGCGTCAGTTCCTTCCAAGAGTGTCGGCAACTTTCGACAATATTTGCTCTCATACTCCTCGAAAAAAGCACCTTCGGAAACTGAACAATACGATTCCTTTTTAGCATGCCAGTTGATTTTTGTTTGGCTATGGTGATCCAGAATATTCAAGTCCTATACATTCTTCAAGTAATGATATGAACACTCACAAGTATTATAAAGTCAGTCGACCGATGGAAAATCAGTCGAGTGACCAGTAATACAGCGAAATATTCCAGGTCATTAGAAAAACGTCTCATGGAAAATTTGACATCCCTGTTACTCGAAGGTAAGATCGGCTGGTTCAGCCTAAAATATACCAGGCCTCTGCTGAGTTAGCCTACCCAGCGCAATTTCTTGGATTGATGTAGAGGCTCAAATGACTGTTCAGAGATGATCGAAGCTTGTTTGACGTAACTGGTGAAGCCACTGCCATAAACTCTGCGAAATGGATCTTTGTTTCAAGGGATCTCCCAACCCAAGATTACCGAGGTACAGAACCTGGAAGTGGAGGCTGGGTCAACGGGAAGAAAAAACTTCCAACTGCCCGACGTAGTCTAGCAAATTCTATAGTTTTGTACAAACTTTGCGTTGTAAGTGATTCTTTCAATGAATATGCTCAACTACTGCGTTCGGTGGTCGATAACAACATGAAAATCCAGATTTGTTTAGGTAGCACTGTTTGTGTACGAAGGCCATTTCAGCTTTTTTCTGCAAATACCGCACACTGTCTACGTGTGCGTTTTCAAGGTCAGTTTTACGTAAGTTGTGACATCGAGCCACTCAGTTGTCCGTCTGCCCATCCCTCCGTTCGAAGTCAAACTGATGATGATGTTTTTGCGTTGCAGGTCTTCGCCCCTATCAGTGTAGCAGTTGCTTGAAAGAATTCGCCCGAAAATGTGATTTACTACGACACTCCAATTCAGTGCATCGAGGTGAGCATATTGTTATTGACCCAAGTCTTATCTAGTGAATGGTTGGTGCTTTTACCGGTTGAACATTTATTAGCCTAAATGGATTCGTTGATACAGCCTGCAATTATTAATGATGGATTTTTTGGTTCAATTTTGTGAGTCGGTGTGTAAGGGACTCCTTATTGCAATTTATAGATAACTTTAGGATTCCAGTCTAGTTTGTCGAGCCAGGACAGTGACCGTTGAACAACATATCGAACATCAGAAAATCCCGATTTCGGTTGCGTAAATGGAGTAATAGTTGACTGACACGACACGGGAATTCCATTCTAGTCTCGACTCTTGGGCGTAGTATGTGTCGCATGGATTCCCGTGCCTTTGGAGTGGAACGGTTGTTCTAGTGCCCAGTTAATTTAATGATGTGAGATTTGCTGTCATGAATTGGACCAACCTGAATATCCATGGCTGTTCTTGGAAAGGTGCCTGTTAATAGCTCTTAAATTGTAGTCGTTTTTCAGCTTTATTCCCGAAATGACCCTTCGCTATCATTTCGTTTTGTAGAGTCCAAACCGTACATGTGTCCCATATGTAACAAAGGATTCCCACAAAAGTGGTACTTTGAGAGACATGTTGCTTCTGTGCATAAAAGTAAGTGTGAAATTTAAGTGCGAGTTTTTTCACGACTGGTTTTCTGTCTACAGTAAGTGAAGTAAGCGACAACAATACTGATGACTACTTATGTACTTTCCTTGTTTGTGACGCTGGTTTGCTTTCTGCCCAAACCACTGCAACTGGATTTGGCAGACCGAACAACTCGTCAGTGTAGTAATAAAGTGAGGACCGTTCAAAAAGATCGCAGCACATAATTGGTGTGTGGATTTACGGTCATCCCGGCTTGTTGGCACATCAAGCTGCGGTCGCCAAGTACCAATTTCGTAATTTCGTCGGCTACTGATGAACCATATAGTAGTCTAGAGTTGTGCGATTTTTACCATCGCCAGCTTAGCCGTCATCGTACCGCTGCTAGTCTCTCCTTGTCTTCGCCGGGGTACACGCGCGTCCATACTCTGCCTACCACAACGAAAAAAATCGAACAGCTCGGCAAGAAAGTGAAGTGGGATTTAGTTTGAAAGTGAGGATGGATCGGTAGTGCACCCGGTTTGTCTGCCGAATTCATAGGCTACCCATTCAGATAGTAGTCGGAGTGGTGGTAGTGATCGCTTTCTGAATTTGCTGAACCAGACTGTGCTCGTAACCTCAGGCCACCGAAGTTGGTAATTTACCTGACTGGGAGTAGAAGCTCACTCCAATCGATTCATGTTATTGGGTTTGGTTGGAGTCGACTGAATCTGTGTACAGTGGAGGTGAAAATGAGCTAATGCGAACGAATCCAGTTAACAATCATCCTGGGTGATGAACGAATTAGTGGCATTTGTTAAGTGCGCCGGGGGTTCTAAAACTCCAGACTTTCTACGAATAACCACTATTAAAAATTCCGTCCAAAATTGTTTATAGTGAGTTTCAACCGGACCAACACGTGAGTGCCCATAGAATCACTACTTGTTGTATCGTGGGTGGCCGTCTATTGGTTACGCCTGCAGTGAGCCTGCAAGACTATGCGATAAGGAGAAGACAGAGAACTAGGGACACGACTGTATTGTCAGAACGTATATACAGAGTGTATACAGAGCTTATGCGTAAATATATGGGATGACCAAATGGTTACTTATGGTCGTCCACTTGCTCGTTCTGTTCAATGATGGTGTTCCAGTCGTGAACAAGACTATGCGTAAGGAGAAGACAGAGAACTAGGGACACGACTGTATTGTCAGAACGTATATACAGAGTGTATACAGAGCTTATGCGTAAATATATGGGATGACCAAATGGTTACTTATGGTCGTCCACTTGCTCGTTCTGTTCAATGATGGTGTTCCAGTCGTGAACAGTTTCAGCCCCACTCCGCTGGTCGTATGTTGCTAAGCCGTGTTTGGTGAGCTCCGCCAACGCACCTGCTATCCGGACTGTATGGTACCGTTGATGACCTTGGGGATGCGTCATTCCCTGCATATGTGATTTTTCATGTCTGGGCGCGTCCTGACACTACTCCAGTTCAAATATGAAAGTATCCGCATGCATCTAGTTTGAGGCGAAACTTGATGTCGTGAATCTAACGTTCAATCCACGTCTTCCGCCTTATGTCGCTCACGGTTTGCTCCACCTCACTTACTTTTTGGTAAGTCAAATTGAATGTCGGGTGTATGTGACATACTGGACTCGATTAGACATGGAAGATAAATTTTAGTTGTCGCCCCTTGGGGAGGGGGAAGCATTGTTAACGATACCGCTCCTCAAAAATAAGCATTCTGACTCGCCCTTTGATATTTCTGTTCAGTTTTGGAACCCTGGCCCATGGACCTGAAGTAAAACTTCTGGTCGAAATTAATCTCAGAATTCATTTCGGCGAATAGTGCGCCTTGATTTCAATCGGGTTTAGCTAGTTGCACCGGCCTTAAAAATAATCTATAATTTTTCGTCGCCAAATGCGTGTCTTATGTGCGAAAAAACGTCCTGTTTATCCGATGCGGTCCGGAGGTGCAGCCACACCACACAAAGTCCCTTCTCCATCCAATTTTCTTCGCAATAGGGTTTTCAAAGTAATTTTTGTTGTACATCAGCAAATCATCAGTGCCGAACACTGGGGTGCGAGATGGCTCAGTGGTTAGAGTGCGAATTTACTGACATGAAGGTCCGTGGTTCGAACCCGACCTCCGCCTCTCGACTTTTCCTGTCTAGGTTGGGCAACCTGCAATTATCCCAGCCCTAATGTTTCTGGTGACATTGCAGCTGGGCACCGAAAGGGTGATACAACTGAACGAAGAAAGAAAAAAGAATAATCGGACACTGATGTGCTGTTTCTGACTGCAACACGATGATGCACTGAAAATCGACAGTACCAATACGATTGACTGTGGTCAACGCTGAACATACATAGACTCACCTACCCAATGGATCTAACGGAAACCAACTCCTTTTTCCGGCCAATCTGCCTCACACACATTAGAGTACATGGATGTAAGCCGTAAAATGACTACGAATCCCACCAATCGCCATTTGTCGTACACCGGATATGGACCCTGTAACACATCAGTTTTGTGCGTCATGATCGTGCATTCGCGCAACTCCCCAGTTCGTTCTGATCAACCCGAATAGGTTAGGAATCCCCAACGCCACACAGAATTACTCTCCTAGTTTTTTCCACCGAACTACAGGTTTGTGCAATGCACTTCTTCCCAAATTGTCCCAAACCCTTCCCACTTGTTCAAGGCTCGGGCAAATGCTCACCTGTCTAGTTCTTCTTGACGATGTTATTTCTGCGACCTCTAGTTTCCTGTCTCTAAATATCCAAACGTGTTTTTGCGCAGTTCTCTACATCTGGTCGTTCTGCGACACCCAGCTCGTCTTAATACAGCCCAGTTCGTCCTACACGGCCGAAGTGCACCTTGTCCAGAGGCTCTTATGGTTTCTAAGACGGCAATGCATTATCATTCGACTGTTGAATATTTAATTCACCCTCCCCATCGGTATGTCGGAGTTGTTCTCACCCATATGTACTCTTGTTTCTCATCACCCGATTCAGGCTATCTGTGGAAGCAGCCATCACACTGACATAGTTACTGTGATCCACAGGGCATAGCCAAATACCATGCGGAAAATGGTGTTCACTGAATGTTCGTACAAAAGCAAGAGAGACCTTCCCGGTCGAGTTCTCACTTAGCTATGCCTTCTTATGGTTTTTCTTTCTTTCTCTTCATGCACAGCTATCCTCTCCTCGCGCCCTCAGTCTCAACCGCAATCAAATCCGCTCCAGATGCAACAAATGCAGTCACCACCACCGACTCCACAACAACAACAGCAACAACAGCAGCAGCAACAGCAACAGCAACACCAGCAACAACAACAGCAACAGCAGCAGCAACAACAGACCCATCCAAACCTCATGGCTCCGCAGCAACATTTTGCGTTTTTCCAGCCCCACGCCCAAGGGCAGACGATGAATTTACGTAAGTTGTACGCCCGTTAGCGCCCGTTGGTCGCAAGGTTTTCCAATAGAATTTCCTTAACAGGATCACTAAATCCCACATTTATGTAGCATTTCGCGGTACGGCAAGCGCAAGTCTGCCTGCCTAGCTTCACACGTGTGGCGGTATGACAAACGGAACCTGCATCCCTGTTGTACTCACATGTCGTTCGCATCGGCTCTTACACGTGTAACTGGCATTACTTTCTCTCTCGGCACTGTTAGTGACCGACTGCTTGTGTGTGGCGCGTAATGGTGTACAATCGACTTAATCGTTCTACTGACCAGGTGGCCAGCAACTCGTCGCGCTGTTGCGTTTATCATTTTGCTATTCGTTTTTTTCAGCGATGGGCACAATCATTGCCGCTCCTGGAACAGGTGCAACTGCAATGCCCGCTGGAGCCCAAGTTATGATGGTGGCACCAGGCGTGAATATGCCCATGTCCACCTTTTTCTTTCAACCACACCAGGCTTCTCCGTTTGGGAACCAACAGAATGCAGTCATGCACCCCACTGCAGTCCTTCCAGCTGTCCCCACATCACTTATACCTCAGAACACTATTGCAGCCCAGACAAGCCTCATCCAATCTCCGTTCGGATTTACTCCCGTAACTATGACCCAAACCAACTTAGGACACGTACAACCTGGTGCTTCACGTAAGTTCAACGAACCTATTTTCTATTTTTGCTCTTTATGTGTTCATCAGCCACGAATAAGTTGTCGTTACCCCACTAAGCCGTTCCTTTGTTCTTCTTGGGGAGCATCTTTCATATCTTCCAAGTCTGTTTAGTTTTATAACATCACCAACAGTCTGACATCTTCGATGTGACCCTCAGCGATCGCCGGGTGCTCTTATTCATTATGGTTCTTCACCGTTGTGCCTATTTCCACACCTTCCCATTTTTGTTGTTCGTGGCTGATAAAGTCACCTGAAAATGGGTGGTTTTGCTACCGTTTTAGATAGACGGTTTCCTGTCGGTCTATTGGTCACGCTTTTTATCTTTTTCAGCAAATCGACCCCATAAGGAGTACCAGTGCGCCACATGTCACAAGGTCTATCCACGGAGACAGAGTCTTCAAGCTCATATCATACAAGTCCATACGGGTAGGTTTAGCCTATATTTGTTTTGAGTGTCGTTTCAGATTATGAGACCTTGGGATGTATGAAGTCAAATAATCGGAAGAATATTCGAGATCAAACGAAGTTTCTAGCAAAAAAGCATTGCTTTATCTTATGATGGTCTGACCCATTCATCCACCCAACTATCGGAGAGAGAGAGAGAGAGCAGGTGTACGTTCTACCCACAGTGCGTCCCGGCCGACCCAGATAATAGACCATCTAATTTCATACCATCCAGTCTAGTGAAATTCCACTGGTATCTTTATGATTTCCTACTTGTTGACTCGGGATACCGTTTGTTAATTGTAGGTCAGCTGTAAGTGAATTCTCGGCGCGCTGACCAGTACACAACGATTATCTATTGGCTGCCTAGAACTCCTTTTTTCGTTCGATGTATGCTTCTCGGTCGAGCTTCATGACGGTTGTTTTGTCCTGTGATTTACATTCGACCCAACTAAAACTACACTTAATGTAGTTGCAGCGTAACAGCTCTTCCTAACTTTTTTTCGCCCCTGACATATGCCAAGTCTGGTAAAGTTATTTCTTGGCACAGCGGTTTTGTTTCGTACCCTCGACCTTTTTTAATATCACTTGAGGTAACTATGCGAGTCGTTCCAAAGCTGATTCAACTTCACATTCGCGGTGTAAGTAGAGAACGAAAGTGTACACATACTCCCGAAAATTCATCCATTTTGAAACAGATGTCTTCTGTTTCGTTCGTTTCGGAGCTTTATGTCCTCAAGCGACTCATTGAGCTTGCAATAGTTCAGCTGTTAAGACGGAAGATCCGTAGTTCGAACCCAACCTCAGTATCTCAGCTCTCTTGCTATACCCTCTGGTGGTGAGGCACCTAGACACCGACGGGGTGAACGATCAGCTATGCAGCCATTGTCATTGACTGTCAGTCATTGACTGAAGAGTTTCAATTTGTATTCATTTGCCGAATTCTGTTGTGACTTGTAAAAGTATCCGGCTGATACACCCCGTCAGACAGTCAATTCACTCATCATCATCATCCTCTCCGACCTGTTGTGTGAACATGAATGTATTGAACAACAGACAGTGTGATTGTCCAGTGCTAGAGATTCCTCAATCATCCAGTTGGTCACTGGTGAACAGTAAAGGCTAACTGATACCACCGTAGATTATGGACAGAGTAGTCCCTGATTCACGCCCTTAGGAAATAATGATAATAATAGTAATAGTAATAATGCCAACAATGGTCCAGCTGTAACACCTTTTCGGCACCTGGTTGCCATGCCACCAGAGGGAGGCACAAGGTCCCTAATATTGCCAGGTTGCCCAAGCCTAGACAAGAGCAGTCAAGAATCAGAGATTGGATTCGAACTGCGGACCTTCCGGTCAGCAATTTCGCACTCTAAGATTGGATTCGAACTGCGGACCCTCCGGTCAGCAATTTCGCACTCTAACCACTGAACCCTTAGGAAACATACAGATGGCACACTCTTATTGCACCAGACACTTGGCCACCTGGACTCTCACATGCAGATGGAATTCCCCGGACCGTGCTTGTCCGGCTTACTAGGCATGTGGCCGGTGCGCGAACACCACTTTTTTCAAAGGTAGAATTTTTTCCTGAATACCTATGGGAAATGCAGGTCTGAAGGTCTGCCAGGCGGTTAATAGTACACTCTCATCTGTCGTCAAGCCCACATGCATTCACTGAGATTTCAAGTGCATTCATTCATTTCCCACAACTGTCTGGTCTGACCTGATTGTGAAGTTCGACGGGCGTCGATTGTCTAAACAACCCTGTCGAAAAAAGCATCCGGCTTGGGACTCGTGTATCATCCATTTAATTCCATGGTCGATAACACGACTGATTTATCGGAATGCCGTAGATCACAAACGGGAATGATCCGCTCCGTAATTCTGGGCATGATTGGTTGTCCCCCAGCGTCCTCAGTGAAAGGATCGACTGGTTCGATTACCAGACGACAGTGATTGGTTAACCATGCCAGACGCAGCATTGAGGGGATATATTTTACTGGATTAGGCAAAGTAGTGAGGTTTCTCCGGTTCAACCATGCTTTTGGTTCACCGAGAATCGACTTCAAATTTTGCATCATTAAGTTAGGTATGTCAAATTATGAAGCAGAGACTTTTAAGTAAGACGGTTTCCGGACTGCTAGTGCTAACGACGTTTTCTTACGTTACACCAAAGATTGTGTGCAAAATATCGACTTCCAGAAAATCCTTAGAATTCCTACCATTACCTTTGACCCAACCAATATTTGCCCTACAGAGGCGCTTTGCAGCAGAATGTGTGTACTATCAGAAGGCACTGAACGGTTCCAGCATCTACTGTCAATTTCATTTTGCGTTCCTCCCTATTGTCATCGAAACAGAAACATCTCATCAGTTGGGAAAGTACTCATCCAATAATTGTCCTTGCGCAGAAAAGTGTATTTGGTTTCGGCGAAATGCGATCGTTTGCAAATTATATTAACTCAACCGAATCTCTTGATTGTGATATTCTTCACAGCATGAACGAGCGGTTTCAGCAGCCTCTGAACTGATATGTTACAAGTAGTCATAAGTAGTGTGTATTCTGTATTCGGTTTCTAACTGCTTCTCTTAGGATTAGGTGCTTCCTGATTTCCTCTGACACCCACTTGCCGGTCAGTTTCATTCAGAGTTTTCGGATATGAGAGCTGTGGGAAATCAAAAGTGCCTGTAAAAGGCTACGTGTTACTTAAGACAGTTTTCAGTCGAGTTCAGAATAGAACTAGAGACTTTCCGAGCAACGAGTTCCGTTAATCATCAAGAAGTTACCCATGCAGTAACACGCACATTATTCCCAAGTTGCTTGACTATTGCAATAATTTCCGCTTAATCTTGCGTCCAACGACTATGCCGCAGTGTGTGGGCTCATACAGATAGGATGTCGGGCGATTCTGCTTTTTGCCACGAGGTTAGTATCTGATAAAATATATCGAGAATGGGACAGAGCTGTAAACGTAGACCATTGTTACAGCACATTTCATTTCCTATAACCAAGCACTCACCGTCTTTCTGTGTCTCTGCTAATTGATCCTGTTGTTTTCCGTTGGCAGATAAAAAACCCTACGAGTGTCACTTGTGTCACAAGGGGTTTGTGAGGCGTTGGGATTTCTACCGACACGTGAATTCTGTACATCAAGGTGGGTTACCCGCACCACTGTTTCCCGTTCGGTGATCCGCCGAGTAGAACAACAAAGCTAATTTTCCTCATTGGGTTGCGCAGATTCCACTATTTCCTTCTCTTCTTGTAACGTTGTCGAGGAGCCGTCGTACACATGACCGAGTTACTCTCAACACCGGTTGAGAGCAATCCAGTAACCAAGCATTCTGTTTATTCTACTTCTTTATTAATATTATCCCCGCAGTATTGATAGTGTAATCTAGATTTAGCTGCAATACTCGATGTGTCCGTTTTCAGTTTGCAACAAACCATTAGCTTGTTTTAGGCCAATTTCTTCCCAGTTTAAGCTGTTAGCCTGTTGCTGTGATTCGCCCCGATGTACTGTAATGCATGACCGAGTACTCTCAACCCCGGTTGAGAGCAATCCAGTAACCAAGCATTCTGTTTATTCTACTTCTTTATTAATATTATCCCCGCAGTATTGATAGTGTAATCTAGATTTAGCTGCAATACTCGATGTGTCCGTTTTCAGTTTGCAACAAACCATTAGCTTGTTTTAGGCCAATTTCTTCCCAGTTTAAGCTGTTAGCCTGTTGCTGTGATTCGCCCCGATGTACTGTAATGCACGTACCTGATGCCCAACCAAAGACCAAACAAAATCACTGGGGAGATGGTCGGTCATTTGCAAATTATATTGATGTTTACGAAAGACTTGACTTTCATTCAATCGAATCTTCCGTTAATAATCTCTTCAACTATGAAGATGACCTCGTGTTTTAGTTGGAGCGATATTCAGAATATCAAACCACTTTCTTTCACGTGACACTACTTCTAAGGTCGATCAAACCTCTGGACGATCAACCACCTGTTTCGCCCTTCTTGGGACTCATGAACCTCTGGACGATCAATCACCTGTTTCGTTCTTCTTGGGACTCATCGAATAGGCCTGCACTTTAGATTTCAATCATCGTGCACGATCGATTCAACTGAATCCCAGTTGAGTCTCCCGTTACACCAGATTAATTTACAAACGAGTGTTTATCGACACATACGAACAGTTTATTGTTCATGGAAATTTGAGGACCAGGCCTAAAGGTCGTCGAAACTGATAAGAGGTTGTCCAGTATTTTCATCAACCTTATGATTAATGTCATGTGAAGAAAAAAAGTTTAGTAATAGTGTCGTTCAACGTGTTGACTTATAAAGTTGAATCACTGAGATGTTTTCTCTTCGAGTCGTCTTAGTTTCTTCAAAGTACTTCGTGTACGGTTCTCAGATGTGGGTTTCCTCTAAAGTAAAATAATTGGTAAGGTTTTCTCCACAGAGAATACTGTCTCTGTCTGCCATCGTTCACGCTGTTCCACGCATTTCCCATCTTCCGCGGTCAAAACTGCCTCACAGCCAATTTTCCGTAGTGAAAATAGACCTCTTAGCCTTCAGGTACATTCATCATATGAAATTACCCTGAAACACGGCTAAACGCGCCACACGACTTTCCCAGAAGGCTTTGGTAAAAGTTAATGAGTTTACCAGACCCTTCAATCGGTTCTAAACTTCCGAATTGATGGAAGACGATGTACAACTGTTTCCTTAGATCAGAGACGGTGACTGAGCGCTCCTCACCTCAAGGTTTCAATTTCTGTTGGATGATGTAAACATTTCATGGAAGCGGCAAATACAAGACGGTGTATAATTTAGATGGATTCTAACTCCCCTTGTTTTCAACCACAAGTATTAATGAGAAAACACCTTGCTCTCCACATTCTGCTTTAGATAATGCCACAAGTGCGATCGATCCTGACAAAACCGAAGAATACCTGGCTTGGATGCGTGGTCGACGCTCTTCGTTGGATATTAGCTGGGAATGTCTGAACGCCGTACGTCCTGAACTGACTCGCATCAAGCCCGAAGAGCCTCTGCATTCTCATCAGACTCTAATTCATCAGGTGCAGCAACAAACCCACTCCCAGCAACAACCTACATCCCAGCAGCAGCAACAACAACAACAACAACAAGCCCAGCCAGCCCCGTCCGATCCGATGACAGATCAGTTTCAAGCCCAGAACGACCTGAATAATATGGTGACTCCAGATCTCAACAATCTTTAAGATGGTTTAGCCTGTTTCTGTCCATCCTCCTAATACTGGACTTTACTCACGACTGTATGTGTATATATTATGACACTTCTGACGCGTTGTATATAGAACTTAACCCTACATTTCCACACGAGTCCTCCTTCATGCACTCGCTATGCACGTGTTCTCTCCATCAATTTCTTCGGCATTCCTCGGATATTGATGAATGATAGATCTTCTGTGATGTTGCTGTTCAGTCCGGCCGTCCTCTTGACGCACCTGGCTGGAGTTGGTTTGATGTCCCGTTTTCTCCCTTGCATTTTACGGAAATTCGTTGCTTCTTCGCCCTTCTGTTCTTTGAAACACCCTCTCTCCCTCTCTATACATATCCATAAAAAGAACTTGTAAAGATTTATATCCTACACTCCTCATGTTGTGTAAACACTGTTTTGCAAAGATCAGCTTGTTTATCGGTGTGTGAGATAGACCCCGTTTCTCCCTATCGTTCTGGTTTATTTCGACCCTGAGGTGACTAACACGCATTTCGCAATGTGATTATCTATGTCGATAAAACTAGTTTCTTATGTCAGAAATTATGGGATTTCTTCTCCTGACCTAGTTCGGGCGGTCTTCTTGAAATTAACTAAATGGGATAACTGACCTTCCCACGCAGTCTTGTTAAAAGTAGGTGAACATTTACTTCGTTCCACCTAGTTAGCCACTGTGACCAACTGTATGCTACATGAACCAAGCAGTCAGCGATCCTTGAAAACGCTGTCTCAATCTGGTTGCCGCGGAACAGTGGTACAACTCACCGTGAAAAGGAACCTTGATTTCCACTGCACTACGCAGATGTTCCGCGTATTTGGAACAGACTGCAAGCACAACCTCTCTGTGCTGACCGGTATTTGTCGCTATCTCCAAATTTGCTCTGAGATTATCAAAATGAGTATTAGGGTTTCGCTGATCTCCCTGAAATCAAGGGATGTGAACAAATTTTTGAGTAGCATACGGTTTTCTTTATAAACAAATGGACTGTGGCACTATCTAGCGCTTAATTGTCCACTTTCTATATTGCTTCACACCGGCCATCTCCCGCTCAGGGATTATCTGGTTTCGTGGATATCCTAACCTTTAACCGACAGAGCACGATGGTCGATGATTAGACTAGTAAGTCTCGGTCTCTAGTCTTGGTTTCGTGTGGGTGTGGACCGTGGACAGCTTGCAATTTCAGGCATCCAACATTCGGACTAACATTCTAGATGCAGGTCTTCAGACGATGGCGCTAATCTTGATAAGCTTTTGAGGCGAGAATAGCTTCAGGGAAATGTTTACAACCGACCGAGAAATTGTTGTTTCCAGAGTTGTTTGGTAAGTAATCGGTGAATTTACTGCCAGACAGCATTTCTCTCGACACAGACCAAACGGATGAGCCTCCAGGTCGCCCATGCACTACCTTCTGTGCCACTTAAAATTAGCAAGGCGGGTGTCCTCAAAAGACCAATGGTGGGTGGCATAGATTCGCCACGAGCCAGCCAGATTCTGTGCTGGTGTTCCAAAACCAATTATTGGCAGGTCATGCAAACGCAAAATTTGTATGGGTTTTTAAAAAAAGGAACTAGATTTCATTCAGAGCTGGACGAGTTTCTCGTTAGCTTTGATGTCAACTCCATGTGTACTAATGTCCCTAAAGCGGACGCTCTGGAAGTAGCGAGGTGGTTTTTACTGGCAAACGACGTTGCAAGAATGAACGGAACTCCGCCTAGACGAGATAGTTGAAGGTATAAAAATCTTTAAACATCAGTCACTTTGTTCTTGACTCAGTCAAGAACAAGGTCTAGCAATCGGATCCCCAATATCTCCGTGTTCGGCCGGTGTGTACGTGGAAGACTTCGGCCGATGGCTTCAGCCAGATTGGTTTTTCTTCCAGGACTTTTCCCACGTTACGCAGGTAACAAGTTTGACGTGATTGGGTGCTCTAAATTTAACGGATTTTGCCAGTATCTTGACACTTTGGATCCTCACCTCAAGTCTAGCCTGGGACTATAGTTTAATCCAGGCGCGCTGTCCTTCGACTGCGTGGCACACAAGATCGATGGAAAATTAAAAGCTGCCGTGTGAAAGAAATCCTGGTTAACATTTGGCACTGGTTGGAAGGGACCTCACTGACTGATTCATCGTCTATCTTAGAACGAACCTGGCAGCTAGTTCACTTGACCTGATGAAAGTCGTGTCAATAGTGGAACGTTGCCCAGGCATGTATTGACCGACTGTCTAGCAAACCTTTCTGAAACGGGGACAGTTGTGGTTGGGAATGTCCGTCCCGCCGGAGTCAGCGCCAGAGCATTGATGGCAGGCCTGATCCTTTGGTACATAATTTTGAGGTATTGTGACGCATGCTCCTTCACGCAGTTGTTTGTTTACTTTTCCCGTGAACGGTATCCTTAGGAATATTTTACTGAGAGATAATTTGGAGCTGAATCAAATACCGCTCTTTCTGTCTCCTCAGCTTTCACACATGAACCAGCCAGTCCAAACAGGCTTATCGAAGGGAACATGAGTCTTATGGGTTATCACAATTTTCCGAGAGAGAATGACGAGATAAAACACTAATGGATATGGGCGAATAGTGCAGTCCATCCTACCAATTTCAGCAGACGATTATCTCCAGCGAAAGGGAGTTCCGGTGAGTCAGCCAGCACGGGCTTAGAACTGAACGCAAAATCATTATCCCAAGAAAGTTCTGAAGGCAGTCGGTTTATAAAGTCAATAGACGTTAAGCACAAGTAGGTGTCAGATTTACTAGTTTCATTGTAACTGGCTAATCTGGAGTTTAATGCGTGAAAACTAGAGCACAATGGATGGTCCGATGGATCTATGTCATCCCGAATTCCCTACGCATTAATGGACGGAATATTCAATTACCGCTGATAGAGCAGGGTGCAATACTTACGTAAGTTTGCATTCGTGGATTCCCAGTGGTTTGAACAAGTATAAGAAGTTTTTACCGGTGTCTTTCCACCAAACATCGTTGCCCACTGGGTACGGGGTTCACGTGGGCGTGCTTGGGGTTATAAGCGAGCTGCATGCGGATCGGATCGGATGTGTACACCGAGAGTGAGCACTAGCCTCGCACACTCATCGATGGTTCGTGGAAATTGAAAAAAACGTCCATTTGCAAGACGTAAAGTGCAACTGACCAGGTGATTCAGCCTAAATACCCAGTAGCTCGACGTAATGAGGTTTTTCGATTTAAAACGAGCGTGACAAACTGTTGCTTGCTTCCTTCTAAGGATTGAACTTTCTAAGAAAAGGTGTGATTTTGGAGACAGGTCTGTGCTAAAATTAAAGGATAACCGAAACGTTTCACCTTGTCTACTTCTCGTAATGCGCAGTATTTCTAAATGATCCCATGTCTGTACATCTGGTATTTCGGCTTTCTCAATTCCCCATGCCATTCCAAGCCATTGTTCTTCTAATGAGGCTCGGCGATATATTGACAACTGATACAAATCAGGAAATAAAAGTGTGAAAAAATAAAGCAGCTTAATAAAAGAATCTCGGTGGAAGATGACGGAGACGGAACTTGTGTTGCTGTGATCCAGGTCAAATCACTGACAGTTGCTTTCCCATTCTGTTAGGTCGAATGTTGATAAGATATTTTCTGTCCCCTTCAGTTCGATGTGCCGAACAAGAGCCCGACGAATCCGACAGATTTCATTATCAGTTACTTGAATTCTTTGATCCGGCGCTACCTATAAAGAGGAAGGAAAGGAGAAAAGGGTATAAAGTGTTTGCTTGGAATATCCGTCTGTCGACATATGCGCTCACAATGAATACTTGAACGCTTCAGGATAATGGCATCGCACCCTGCCTCTTCTGGGATAGAATAGGAACCTGGTCATGTGAAGACATTCGCATATCACGTATTATTTCTTAAATATGTCAAAAATGGCGACCCATGATCCAAATCTTACGTCCTCGTGAAACACAAGACGTCTGTGGTATTGAAACAGGAAGCCAGTAAATCATAACAGGCTGTGTATGTACAGCGGACGAGTATTATGAAAGTACTTGCATCTCGAAATAGATCAAAATGGCCCAATATGCTATCCAGTTATCGACACGCTACCCATGTCCTTTCCGTGAATTTTACTGCCAGTCCGAACCCTATCACGTGTAAGTCACTTGTGGCTTGTGACCGCGCACATGTCGCACCATGTGAGGGCTTCACACCTGACATTGGGACTGAGCTGCCAAGTCACGTGCGGTCTATCGTGCTGGTTACACCTTTGGATGATGGAGCAGGCCGGACGAAAAAAACAGTCCAATGGTGTTAGCGAACGATGTCATGTGAATAGCCCCGGAGTCAACACAGCACCTTTTTGTGTTAACGTGCGATGTGGAGGAGAACCCAGAAAGAAGTAATTCAACAGACCAGCGAACAGAAACTAAGAAAATCAGAGGGCAGAAATGTGAAGTCGAGAGTCAGAAAGCTAAAACAGTAAATTATGCCACGTTGCAACGATGATGTTCGGTCTTGACTGGTCGATGTCCAGGTTAGTCTTATTGACTGTTTTCTTCGCCTCCGTATATGCATGCTAGGACTTAGGAGCCCAACGGCGATGTCATTCACAATGTTGTTTAAGGTAAGGCTTGAAATGCTGTAGTCATGCGTTTAGGTTGTTCCGGTGAACGCGTCCAAAAGACTAGCCTCTGCATTTTATGTAACCATTCGAGGCGTTTCTTCTGTGTCCGGTCATCTTTGTTGGTGCATTCCACAAACTGATCAAAAGCGATACGCTCATGGCTTGTTAGCTGGTCCAGTACAGGTCACTGCTCAATGGTAATCCGTTCTGGATCACACTTCATAGATTTCAACATGTCCATTTAGGTTCGCGCGTTTCGTTTGAGTGAATGTGTTAGTCACTGAGGAATTTCGGGAAACACGTAACAGCGGTTTGGGTGACGTGTTCACTGGTGCATACCTTAAAATTTTGTTTCCTGTGTCTGACTGCTACAAGAGACTGTTGTGGAAGACGGACTAACCGCAATCACAAAACGGTAGCATCTTTGACAGGTTGACCCATGTAGGAGGATTTTTTCTCCCGGACCCCTTATTGCTTCGTTCTTCGTTTTTTTCGTCCGTCACATTTTGTATTGCAATAGCTAAACCACGTTCCTGGAGAACACTCTATTCGGTCATTACTCTGTTATTCTATGGAGAAAGCTTTCATTGTCGCTCTAAAGAGAATGGGTTTTCGTGAAAGCGTTCGCTGTAACGGATATGGACTGTGAGGAATTCCCCGAGTGATTTTAACAACAACCGTGGCTCAGATAACAATCGGTTGTAAAAGGACTTTTGCTGTGTTGAGAGCAACGGTGGTTCAGTTTATGATAAGTACCACTAAGTACCACCTAAGTACCACCTGTCTTGTTTCACAACCGGCCTTTTCACAATCCATTTCCAAACCCTGTCTTGTTCTGACGCACGCATCCGCTTCAGTAGGTTTCCTTTCAGGGGTTCCCTATCAGCGTGCGGAAACTACTTGCACCACTTTTTGCAGGGTCCAATTCTTCCACCTATGTGTCAGTTCACCCTGTTTTTTAAACACCCAGAGCACAAACATGTACCCAGTTACTTTCTTGGTGAGTTGGATATGATGTATGTGGGCTGGTGTTAATTTGCCGTTGCCCCCGAAGCTCTGTCAAGACCAACACCGGGAATAAAACAATCAACGGTGTTGTGGTAAAATAGGATTGGGCCTTGATGAGGAACATTTGAGCAAGGGTAAATCACCATCAAAGTGCCGCAACACATACTGCGTCTGATATGATGTTTTTTTACAATCGGCACCATGTGAAAAAGCCTGTGAAATGTTTCACTGTATCAAGCAGACCCCCGACTTGATGAATAATAAAATGTCACCAAAGTGAAACGGTTTTCTCGTTGGAATGACCCAGTACGAAACACGAGGAGCCTTAAGAGACCCTGTTGCCTACAAGTGCACAAAAAGAAACTATGGAACGTGGTCGTGGGGCCTACATTTTCATAAGGTGGAAAAAATTCCATCTAGATGAGATTAACTTGGCCAGCAAGACAGGTTTTTTTGATTGGCCCCTTACAACGTTGCTTGTTTTGTTGTCCATCATATTGCCATTATCACCCATCCTCAATGAAAATACCTACACCTGAAGGCACGCGCTAGAACCTCTGCTGCCAGTATAGTACTGTGGTAACTGACGCCCGACGAGTGTGTTTAGACTTTTGCCCCCAATTTGACAGCACCATTGTGTGCGCAAATGTTTGGACTCGAGTAGTTGCCACCATCCAGTCTCCCACTGCGTCTTGATGGGGATGTGTGAGTTTGGTGACGAATAGCGTACTTTATTTCACCAGGTCTAGTGCCGGTAAGCGCGTGCCCTATACAGTCATGCTGTCGCCTGCCCAAGCGAAACTAGTTGTAACAAGAAAAGCCTTGGCGTTGAAGTGCGAAATTCGGGCGATCGAATGCTACAAAAGGTGATATTTTAAGTATCCCTCAATGCCAGTAATAACAGATGAAGCTAAGTTGAGGAAGTTAGTCATCGAATAACAGCGAAGCAATATGGAAGCGAGTGCCATTAGTAACTGGCAATAACACCTCAGCTAGTGTAGCAATTCTGCCACAATTATTCGTTAACAGAGCAACTTCTTGGTGTTTGGTCGAAGAAGTGGAGTTACGTTCGGAAAAGATATGATTCAATCATACATTAATTCCGTTTGTCTTCGTTGGGCGAACCTAATCTAAGGTACTGCGGGCGTTCTTCCTTTAACTGGGGTTTCCCTTACTTCAACGCTCCGGCGATGTCCGCTTCTTCTCAGACTAAGTTCACGAGTGACTACTGGTGGTAGGCAAGTAACCGGTATTAACTTTCAATACTGAATTTCTCGTGGACGCACCAACACATCCTTCCTCTTTAGACATTTTACGTAGAAAGTGCGATACTGCCACAGACGTTGACCACGGGTATTTTTCGGCCGTTCATCTGTTGGAATGCTGACTAATGAAATCCATTTCTGAACACACCACATCCGAAGGACAAAACGTTCGTTTTCTAGCTAGTCATAGGCAGTTCAAGCTGTACGCCAAAATGCACAGGATGGGGCTTTTTAGGTTTATTTACTTTTTTAAGCAATTCAAGAAACTGAGTACAACACCTGGAGAATCGGGGAACAGTATCAATCTAATGAGAAGAGAGCACATTTACTTTTGCGAGACTAGAGTATTTCTACCCATCTATAAATCCAACTAGAAAGAAATTTTTTGCTCACCAGGTACTTCACAATTATCCTGTCTATTATTGAATAGCCACGGTGGACAGGATCGGTATTGATCGGAGGCGAGATCTTTTGGGAGGGAAGCTGAGTGTTTGCTTTACTACGCACCATGTTGTACTTACTTGGATGCTTTGGTTACTTGTTCTGTGGGCAGATGAATCTAGTTGGAGAAAGGTAGCACATAATCATATGACTGGGGATTATGACCAACCACCGAAAACAATTACTTTACCAGAATGTCAAATTATCCGTAGAAAAAACAAAACGCCGAAAGATTTTCGACACTTTCAGACTTTTAGACCTTTGCCCTAAATGTCGGTTCTTGTTCTGAAAAGGCTTGCCAGGTTTCTCTGACCAGCATCTGTAAAGCTGGCTGAACTTTGTACGGATGGCGTAAACTTAGTCATTGAAGACTGACTAAGCAGGTTGCCTCTAACCAGCAGCTTTCGATGGTCAAGTCCCAGTGGACCAACCAGAGCACGTGTGCACGATATCAGTTTTCATCTCTACTTTTTCCCCATACGAAGCTTTATCAGAATGTTAGAGACGCAAGCGGTGAGTCTAAATCTCTTTAAATAATGCGACCAGTTTAGTTGTTCAGTTGTTTAGCTTGGGTTGCTACCTTTGGATTACTTCCACACTTAGCTTTTTTCTGAATGCGTCAAGAAAGAACGCAACAAAAGTGGGCTTATCTACTCATTCCTGGTCCATATCCTGTAAGAAATTCTATGAAAACTGAGTAAGCGCATCTCAATATAATGCCTGGTAAAATCAACTTCATTTATTCTTGATTATCTGGATTTTATATCCTAAATTAATATGATCTCGCCGAGGACTTGATAAGTATGTTTACTTCTGAGATAACGCGCTCGTAACTGATAGAAAGATTCATGTGACTAAATCCCTGTTGGTAAATAGGGATTAGAAGTCGTCTCTCTATATTTGTTGTTTGCGGTTGCTGCAGTTTATTACCGTTATTCATTCTGGTTTTAAGTATTTCATCAGTTGTGAACTGGTTTCTGAGCAAGACAGCTCACAGAAGCCGGGTTACAACACTCAACCAGTCATTCAGAAATATATTCAATGTTAACCGTATTCTTCCAATCACTTCAGCTGTGGAAACCGGTCAGAGGATGAACTTCCTTGGTTCACAGCGTCCTTCAGTCAGTTGTCTTTCTGGCACATACGGTTGAAAATCCATATGCGCTTAGAATCCACTGTGCGATAGCTTCAGTAAGAAGTCACAAAACTAAGTGGATCCGTTTGAGTTTGGGAATGTGTTCGTACTAAAGAGGGACGAACATCCTGACACTTGTGTGCGTCGTGCACAGCCACATGACAGCGCTAGAAAAAGGGTTGTTACAGGGAGGTCATTACTTATTTCTAACTAGTTTAGCGATTAGGGAGTGAAACTATTGGCCGGAACGCCCATGGTAACAACCCACCTATGACTTTTTGATTGCTCCTGTCTAGGGTTGGGCAACCTGCAATAGCTCAGCCGTCATGCTCCACTCACGTTTCACGCAGCTTCGACTAAAAAACTGTATAACAACCCAGACTGGCGCAATTAAGGGGTGAGAAGATAGCCAACCGTAGGTAATTTGTTCCACGGGCATGCACAAGGTTTTTTGGTAGTCTAACTGATGACACACAACACTCCAGTCCACTATGACCTCCAAAACGCCCAATGAGCTCGGTCACATAAGACAGCCAATCAGAATAACTTGTTACGGGTAGCTTTAGGTTTGAACTTGTTGAATTACAAAGGGACTTGTTACAAGACCGTGTTTGACAGAGTAACCTCCTGGTCTGCCTACATGTAGATCAAGAGCGGTTCGAGTATTTTGATCGAACTGATAACATGTTTTAATAAATAATGTCAATTCACAATAATCATCATACCAACTACAAACGAGCCAGATCTCTTTAACACGTAGTGAGGTTAGCAATATTCACAAAAACAAACGTCGGCAAGCGATTTATAGCCGGTAGAAGTGCAAACGAGTTGATAAGGTTTAACTGCCTGCCTACATTTTTGAACTACTGGTCGGTTAGATCCCGAAAATCACATCAAGCGGAATGACTCTTTTTACTGGAAACCATAGTATGTAAACGAAGAATATTTTCGATTGGGTTATCTGAGGCGCAGATAGTTAATTGTGGCTCTTGATTACACACGTAAATAGACAGAATCACAGGCAGATAAGAAAAACTAATTTCAGGTTCGTCAGTCCACTTCCCCCCTTTTCTTTATAGCAGGGGTGATATAAAAGTTGTCCTACCCCAATCTGTTTGAGCAGTGCGGGAGTGACAGACTAGGCTAAACGAAATCAACTTTAGTTGAATATGGATCGAATCAAATAAACTACATGTAGATCATTGGTTGAATATCTCCATGTTCAGAAGCTCTTGCATGATTTACCTTCAGTTTCTTCCACTTCGTTCTCCATGGGTGTTTTGTCCATAAATTCCCTTAAATGAATTAGGAATTGTTCGTCTGCTTGTTTGACAAGTCGTTCCCGTTTGACCAGTATGCTTGCTTTATCTGGTTCTTTGTCAGGTTCATTGCCCTTAGATTGTCCTTTCAACTACAAGAATGAAGGCACAATGTTTGGAATTTATTAGGAATAATAACACTAGAGGCTTGTTAAATATCCGCCCTTGATCTTCATTATCCTCTAGGGAGGTCTGATTACTGGATAATTCAGGAGTGACACGCATAGAAGGATACTGATACCTTTTTTGTAGAAGATAACTAAATAAAAAATTGTTGACCACTTTGGATAAACACTAGTAATTAGTAGTGGTAGTATATGGTACGAATATGGTAGATAAGATAGCCTTAGAAAATTCACTGGGCCACTCCTATTTTTTGGCATCTGGCTTTTCTCTCTGCTTTTCAATTGAGATTTCATCTAACAACAAGGGTCAGTCGACGCAGAAAAAAACGAGAATCACTGTATAACTGTTTCACCTTGTAGTGCGCACCTTGTGAATATAGCAGGAGATATGAACCTGACATCTTTCGGCAAGCAGTTGAAGACTTTCGTCGACGAGTGCTATTAGCTCACACTTGGACAGCAATCAGTAGCACTCCTCCATCAATCAGGCAAGCTGAACCGTGTGTCAACTGACTCTTCGAGTGGCGAATTTTCAGACGGAACGTTTATGTACCTTGCCAATTATTCTGCTTTAGCTACTTATAGTTTTTCCTGGACTGAGACAGGCGGGCCAATAATAGCACTTGCGTTTTTCGGTGCGATGGTTCGAAAATATCAAGAAGTATCCTCCAGCGCTCCACAGCTTCATTAATTTGTGGAAGACTACCCTGTATCTTTTATTGACGGAATAATATTCGAACCGGAGTCGAAGTTGAAGACGCCTATTTATGGATTCGAACCCGGTAGCCGAAACGAAAATCTACTGTGTTAACCACTGGGCTACCCGAATGATACATAGGGGCTGTTCGAACGTTTAAGGTGACTAGCTTGAGTGAAAATGAAAAGGAAAGGAAGAGCATTGGGCTGATCGAGGCAGGCAACAGGAGAGAAGTTCAACTAGCGAGAAAACCGTCACGGGGTGGTTGCCAGGCTAGTCGCTAGGACAACAACAACACCCAAGTAACTAAGATAACCAAAGGGAGAACACGGCTCTAGGATAAGAGCTCTGTGGCATTATTTCTGTCATGGCATGCCTAAACCATCTAATCATGGGAAAAAGTTGTGAAGAATGATTCACAATACCGAATCCGGAACAAACCCATTAGTACTTCCGTAGGATCTAACTGAATAACAACATGTGTCCCGTAAAAAACCTATTGTGCGTTCAACTTGGGCACAGATGGCGATAATGAATGAGAGAAAAATCGACAGAACTGCCGTCCATCAAGACCAAAACAGCTGTCGACAACCCGAACCTACGATGTCAATTTCGGCAGAGCAACTCCAATTAATTTTACAGCAACAACAGAAGCAGTTCGCAGAAGCTCAAGTGAGGCTTGTTGAATCTCTGATGCGCA